CAGCTCTATTACTCTAAGGTTTTTATACTAGAAGTATACTAAATACCCTTTTACTTTTTCTTTTAAGTAGGGTTTATTATTAGGTATCCTAGGGATTATAATAGGAAAATAGTTATTATCTTCCTTAACTTATTTATATATTTTACACTAATAGTATTTATATAATACCTATAATAGTTCCTTATATCCTAGGTAAGTTAAAAATATCCTTAGGTTATTATTAGGGTTAAACTTAGGTTCTTTATAAAATAGGTTTATTATATTACTTATATAGTAGGCATAGATATATAATACTTCTAATTTATTAGTATTTTTATACTTCTTAGTACCTTATATATATCTTTCTTTATTAGATATTTAAATCCTAGTGCCTTTTTTATTAAATAGTAGTTTATAGGATTATTTCTACTTTTATTTAATATATTTATCTTCTTTATAGAGGTATTAGGCAGTTACCTATATTGCCCCTCCTCTATATCCTATACTTTAGGTTTAGTAGTATTTATATATATAGATTTTATCTCTGGCTTTTTATCTTTTCCTAACTGCTTTCTTTATATCTTAAAGGGTAACTTAAACTAGGATCTTATCTACTTATTAGAGTGCTTTAGATTACTTGCCTTTATTAGGGGTAGTTTCCTTCTCTTGTAGATCTTTTAGATATTCCTTAATTTCTTATTATAAGGGTCTCTTCTCCCTTATTATTCCTAGAGTCTTAGTTTATATTATCTTTTCTTATTTCTTTTCTTCTTTCTTCTTAAGATAATAGGTATAATACTTTTCTTATTTATTTTATTAGTATTCTAGGTCCTTTTGTTTTTCTCTATAGTATTTATTTACTTTTGCCTTATATAGTAATAGGATTTAAGGTATATTTCCTATTTTAGTATCTTTTTTTATTAGAAATTTATCTTATAGTTCCTAAATTAAACTATCCAGGTATAAATACCAGCTATATTTTAATATATAGTCCTTATATAAGTCTATTATATTATATAAGCTTTATGTTATTCTTAATATTTAGGTTTATATAGCCATCTAAGGGTCTTATTTATTAGTTATACCTAGTATCTACTTACCTTAATTAGGATCTCTAGCTTTCCTTAGTTAAGGGCATCTATAGGCTATATATCTAAACTAGTTATAGTTATAATACTTAACCTTAGATATATTATAAGGTCTTCTTCTATTATCCTATTAGGTCACTCTAAGCATTATAGGTCTTAGTTTAATACTATATTAAGTATTAATATACCTCTTTCTTTCTTAATTAGTATTTTACTATTTTATATTTTACCAGGGGTTATATAACCCTTCTTATTTCTTGGCTTATTTTTCCTTGTATTTTTTATACTGCTAATTATTAATTTCTATAGTAATATTAGTAAGGTTATTTAGATTTATAGGTTTAGGTCTAATATTTACTATAGTATCCTTAACTTCTAACTTAAGTCCTAGGTATACTTATATTATATAAGCTTCTTTGCCCTAGTTTAGCCTTACTACCTAGTAATAATATTTTATAAGGTAGTCTGCAGTAAATCCTTTCTGCTTAAGTTATTAGATCCTTATTTCTGCTATTTGTTTTTTATTTATAATTCTAAAAGTATTTCTAAGTTTAGATTTAAAGTATTTATATTTCTTATAGATATATTTAGTTATTTATTATTATTTATTAGGTAGATTATTAATATAGTTATAGATAATAGGCTTTATTATTTATAATACTTTATCTTTAAGAAATCCTATATTATATTATACTCTTAGTTCTTTAGTTATAAACTAGATTAGATAGTATATCTAATAGCTTTAGAGACTAATAAGAAATCCTTATAATTTATCAGCATTACTATTAAATAAATCAGGCTAACAGGGTCAGAGGATTTCTCTAGGGTCTTTTCTAATAGTAATAAGAGCTTAGGTATATTTAATATATTCTTTATATAGCTTTTAACTATTTTTGGCTATCTTCCTGAGTAACTCTGTAATCTTAGTAAGGTTAACTACCTTCTTCTCTAATTCTTTAATCTAATCCTTAGCTATCTTAGAGTTGTTTCTGGCGTTATTTAATAGCTAGTTGTGCTATTTACCTAGATATTTAAGTCTATCTTTAAGCTTTGTAACTTTCCCTTTATAGGTACTAGGATAAGCCGGGATAATATCTTCTTCTTTGTTATTATTGGTCTCTATGAGATTATCTTCCAGGTTAGGTGGCATTTCTCTCTGTAGAGTATACTAGGCATATCCTAGGTTAGAAGCTGGGGTTAAAGTAGCAGGTGCTATTATTTAGATATTACTTAATATTATGTGATATAGTCTAAATAAGAGCTATTAATATATAACGGTTAAGTTTCTAAATAGGTAAACTAATCTATATTAGGTTTATATTTATAGATAATATAAGGCATAATACTAAGCGATATAAAGTATTATATCTCTTAATAATTAAGTAATATATATTAGGCTTATTAATATAAAGATACTTTAATTAATAGCTAGTAAGCTAAGTCCTATAAAAGTGCTAATAAATATATTCTATATACTAATAATGGTTATATAGGAGCGATGTGATATAAGGTCGTTGTTGGTCCTGGAATGATGTAGTCCTAGAACGCCGTTGTTCCTATACTTATTGGTCCTTGTCTGGTTAGTTGCTAGGGTGGAGTTTTTATGGGGTACACGTGATATAACCGCTGGGATTGTAACAGGTAGTAGCTAAATTATAAAGAAGTAGTAGTTAAGGAAGGTCAGAGTAACTAGGCGGTTAGTGCTATAGTATATGCGGCAAGGGCGGTTATAATATAAGGACTTATAAGTATGTTCTTAAGTTATCTAAGGAGGAGTTTAATAAGTAAAGGTGGCCCTTTTTAAGCTGCAGCTTAAGCTTTTTAAGCTATAGCTTAAAAAGGTTAAGAAAAGTAAAGCGCTTACTTATCTAGAGTGCTTGCTTATTAACTATGTTATTATTTTATAATATTAACTAAGTTATTATATTTTTATTATAGCTAACTTATTAATAAATATATATATTTCTTATTTCTAAGCTTATAATCTTATATAGCCTTTAAAGGAATTAGTCTTATTTTATAATAATTAAAAGACAAATTCTTTATACCTTTTATATTAAGATCTCTATTTTATATCTTTCTTTTATATATATACTCCTGCCTATCCCTTATAGTATATAAAGATATAATAAGTATAAAAATATTATACTAAGGACCCTTTAGATAAGGAGATATGTTTTAGTAAACTATAATTATAGTACTTAGTAATATAATTAATATTTTAGATAGATATTTAGCTTAATAAGTATTATATTTATATAAGGTAAAGAGGTAAATAAATAAATAAATACCTAATTTAATAAAATTACTATAGGTTTTATATAGCTTTTATATTTTTAAAAATATATAAAACTTCTTTATTAATATTAATATTATATATAATAAAAATAGGAGATTAAATATTAGACCAGGGAATTAGTATAAGGGATAAAAGAAGAATCTATAGATAACCATACTGCCATATAACCTAGCTATAAAGGCTACTAGGAGGCCAGAAGTAGTATACTATATACTAAGAAGGCTCTTATAGTCTAGGTTATTATAGTAGGCTAAGAGGGTTAGACAGATATATAGATAAGAATAAAGAAAGTAATTATGCGATAAATAGTAATATCCTACTTGCTAATCCGAAATATGGCTAGGTGAGTAGTGATACCACAGAAAGCCATAATATAAAGGGCAGAAGGGCTGTCCAGTTGAATATTGCTAGGGGTAATCATAGTAAAGATAGGTTATTGGTAGTCCAAGGAGAGTAAATGTTGTTATTATCCTTTGCCTAGTTGAAAGATATGGGCCTTGTCTATACTATAACTATGTAAATATATGCAACCTGTTGACATCTAGTATCATGACTCAGGGACAAGATCATTACCCCGCATAATCAACCAAGGTAATCTATCACTTGTGCAAGTATACTATGCAAGACACGTGAGACTTCCTTTTCCCTTCCAGGACATTTGATAATCCTGAGTCAGTTGGACTTGAGTAAGCCGACGATCCGAAAGACCACAAAAGGACTAATTGAAGGGTAGAAATAAATCGTGTGCAATCGAGATATTAGATGAATGGGTCCGGGCTGGGGGATGAATTGATGTCATGTTTCAGGTTCGTGGCAAAGTTCATGCATACAGGGCTAGGTTTGGAAGACAATTCTATGAAGAGTCAATTTTCATAAACAATCTGCTATCGCTGACATCCTGTCGGCATAAAAGGGTGCCTTTTTGTCGGCGGATTACCAACAACCTCTGTCTACAGTTCTATTGATTTGTGTGCCAGCAGCGAATACCCACTTCTTTCCAAGCCCCTAATTCTACATTCCATAGATACTATCGGATCCGATGACTACCCAATACCACTAACACAGCTCCTTTAATGTTTGATCTGAGAGGTTCACACCGTCTTCACTGCTGTCCGGCTCTGCGTCTTCAAGCTGCATGCTAGTCAATAGGTCAAAGTCAAGGCTAAGTAAATCAAATGCCTGTTGATCAGACAGATAGGTATTAGTTCCGTCCATCTCCGTTACTACATCAAGAGAATGAATACTTTCGAGGCCTTCAACGGCGTCGGAAACACTCCATGAGATCCCGGTCTCAGTGGGGCGGCAATGTTCCATCATACTAGACCAGCTACAGCTCAGTATGGAGTCGCGTTTCGGTGCTTGTGAGCAACGTAGAACTCGTTCCATTTCTGACATACAGCTCAAATATTGGGATGGCTGATAGGCTATGATGTCTGTCCAGCTTCGTAGGCAGCCCTTCCGTTGACTCGTCAGACCACTCTCGACCGAGCTGACAGTCTGGCGAACAAGAAAGCTTAGGGGTTCGATCCCCTCAAATCGGGGATGATATACCTTCAACATCTCGACTAGCGTCCGAAGCCGCCTCTGGTTCGCAGTGACCTGACCGCCGAGCCTGGCTTCAAACACATACATCGTCATGGGCACAGCGGCAAAGGCAGCCCTGGTGCGACAGTTCAGTATTATCTGTCACGTGTTCACCGGAAGTAATGTACTCACACACTGACGGGCAGAAACCGCGCAAGTCCGAGTCGGACGGGCTCTGCCAGATGGTCGATAAGGCGAAAGGTGGCAGACCGAACCTCATCGACCAGAGTAGAGGGGAGAAACTCAGTCGCACCAGACAGGCCAACATCAACCATGAGTTTCTGATGATGGAGTAGCAATTTAGCAGTGCTTGAGTCTTGTTACTGTCGATATCTTTGGGGAGATTGTCCATTTAACCTACTAGTATTGTATATACACAAAGTTCGTGTAGACAATAACAGACGGATGTCGTGGCTGACTTCCGTGACCCAGTTCAAGGAATTCTTCCCCAGTGGCACTGAACCAGGCCGAGAGATTATCTCTGCATTGGGATATAGTTGTGCGGTCATTAGCACATATTGTCTCCAGGTGATGTGAAGCACTGCGATGCCGAGCCATGAGCTGAAGCAAATCTATCACGATGTAGCAGAATGCCATCAATCGGCGGAATACCCTGAATAGTTGGGCTTTTATGCGTGATGTGTACACCAAAGACCCGTCGAACTCGGAGCTAAAGTCCTCTTCCTCTGGTAACGGGTATTGCCCAGGAATCTGTACACATCGCCTGTGTCCGAGAGAAATACTGCGATCACGGAGGATACAACACCACCAGAGACGCTTCAGTGGACCTGTGTCTGGTCCATTGATGTATCTCACATTGGCACCAAGGCATTCAGCGTGTTCGATCGCTCTGGTCAGCCATACTGAGTTGGGCGTTGGATGACCGTTGTCACACGAGACGGGTAAGAAGGTAAGCAGCAAAGCTCCCCGTGCTAGATCGACGGCAGAGGGCTCAGTGTCGAGGTCATAAAGAAGCTTACTCACGTTAGCCCTTATCAGCGCGGGGTTGGACAGAATAAAAGGACCTTGGCTCGTCGGTAAAACCTAGCAGCCGCAAGGCGAGGGCATTCGAACCCCAGTTCTTTGGTTACAGATTCAGACACGAACTATAACAATGTCAGCAACACCTCGAAAGTGTAATTAGTCCACCCACACTACAAGCAGCAAATAACATCGCCTGGATCAAAAACAGTGACAGTTTATTCGTCTTCTGTCCGTATTGTTCCCAAAACACACACTCATCCATCAAGGGCAGCATCGGGTGAACGTGTAGAAAGTATTCTCGGATAATTTCGTCGAGTATAGTTCTGGGCGGAACGCTTAAGCATCCTTGTTGTCGTAGGAAGCTAACATCGTCTGGAGGAAGTTTACTCAGGTCTGGGTCGTTTATGAAAGCGAGTTGGTTATCTGTCGGCTTCAACAACATGCTTTCGTCTTCGGACCTAGTATCGGTAGGCTCGATTTGTACATTGTCGAGATTGTATGGTGAGGGATTCAAGGATGGGAATGGGTAGATCCCCAAATATGGGTCGTCGTTCGTTGTAAACGTGCCATCCTGGGGCCAGATACCGTCGCTAATAGTGGTCGCGAAGCTAGTATTGGTCTTGTTCGTGACTTCCGCGTGTTTTGTTTCGAGCCTTCTGCTATCAAACGGGTGAGCTTCGCTCGTCTTACTGATTCCCTACCGGTCGATAGAGGACTTACCGCTTTGGTTTTCGGCTCTTGGCCTCACAGTGGACCTGATCCAGACGACAGTTTACACATGGTGAACCTCCAAAGGCCACGTCGCAGCGGATCTTTCTTCTCCTACAATGGAGGCATGCTTGCTTGGCACGGCGTTTTGGCATACTGAGGTTAATAAAGCGCATTGGGGATCTTTTTCTGAAGCTCCACAACTGAAAGCTGAGTCTGCAGTTATGAAAAGTTGCGAAAAATAGAGGCTGCAGCCAGGAACTGACCGGCTTCTGTTACCCCATACCCCAGGTTCGGCTAATGCATCTTGACTCAGGAAACGCTGCCTCAGCCTTTTGACCCGATTCCTCGAATGCGGGTCCCATCCACACCCTCAGCCCCCAGGTGCACTAGCCCTCAGACGACAAAGAACGTTGGTGAAAATCTTCAGATCTAATCAGGCCACTAATTCGTACTGTAAATGTGATGTTGTAGTATAACCCTCAAGTTAGCTGTCTTTTCCACGAGAGGTTAAGCTACTTTAGAGTATCTGCCGAAGATCGGCCGAAAGCCCTCGAGTCGCCAATGAGCCATGTGACGACCCATAAAAATATTCCCAGGTGCCGTATCAGCTCGAGCCATCAATTTTATTTTATTACTAGCCTTTGCCTGATTTTCATTCCCCGCATCGCGAAATTAACAGTTCCAGACTATTAATTATTAAGCATAATGAGCTTCGGCACAGATACTTTTTGCTCAGTATGCGCTGTCATCGACTTTCAGAAACTTTTTTACCATGAATGGAACGAATCCATTCTAGGGTACAAGGATCTATGCTTGGGGACACTCGAACAAGTCCTGGAGCGCGCAGAAAACTGCAATATCTGCAAACTTGTGATTGATGTCTATAAGGAGCGGTTCAGAAGAGCACCCCACGGCCGCTCTCTAGACATCTACAACAGAGACTCACTGTATCCGATACGTTCGAGGTGTATCAATGAACTGCACGAAGAGGTAAAAAAGTATGGTCTACGTCTTACCGAAAACGGCAGGCCGATAAGGTGTAATTTAAGGGAAATAACCTTCGCCAGAACGAACATTCAACAGACCAACGAAGACGAAAACGGCTCCGATAACGATGCACCGGTAGAAGTGAGCCGTGCTCAGCTTATGCTGCATCCATGTCCTTGGACACATATGGGAATTGATAGCGTCACCCTCCAAGCGATTTGGCCTGAAGGAACACCTGGCACAGCCAAGAGACCCACGACAGAAGGCTGTATCTCTCTGAGCGGCACTGGCAGGCCAATAGAACCGCTTCTGGATTTTCAACTAGTCCGCCGGTGGATATATCAGTGTGAGAAAGATCACGGGGACAAGTGCCACAAGCCAGACTGGCTCATCGACAACGACAATGAATGGCTAAGTACGTTTCGAGTCATCGATGTCCAACAGAGACAAATTATCGACTTACTCCCCTCTATGCGCTATGTCGCGCTTAGTTACGTCTGGGGATCCGACGGACAGAAGATGAAATTACACACCGAGAGGCGCCTAACTCGAGAGAACCTTCCTCAACTGCAACAGTCCGGCGGTCTAGATAAGATATTCCTTCCTCAGACAATCAAGGATTCTATGTATGTTGTTGAGAAAGTAGGAGAGCGATACTTATGGGTAGATGCCCTATGTATTATCCAGGACGACTACAAGGATGTTAGCCGTCAAACCGCACATATGGATTTGATATACTCCAAAGCGCTGTTCACAATCATCGCTGGATGTGGCGATGATTCCGAGTCGGGTCTGGCAGGTCTTCCGAGTCAGCCACGGGATTTCTTGCAGCGCCAAGTTAAAGTGTCTAGCAGATTGCGCATCACGCCCTGCGCTGCTCTTTCAGAGGATGATGAGCTACAGTGTTCAAGGTGGAGTACCAGAGGCTGGACGTACCAGGAACGGTGCTTATCCAGACGCACACTAATATTCACGGAGTCACAAGTCTACTGGCAATGCGAGAGTACAACATACGATGAAGAAACGATTTTAGATATCCCAGGAACACTAGTCGATGTAGCATCTATCTACCTAGGATGCAATGATATGAGGGACATTGGTGACAAAAAGTTCTCTAAGAGAAGCTTGTCCAAATCCATCAGACAATTCAGCGAGCGAAAGCTTACGTACCCTGCTGACGCTCTTCCAGCTTTCTCAGGCCTCATCCGCCGATGGGAGTATGTGAACAAAGAGAAACTTTACTGGGGTTTACGAACCAAGAAGTTTGATCAAGCACTTATCTGGAAATGGGGCAATGATCGTCGCAGAGAGGTATATAGGACAGTGTCCGGAGGATCAGTGATCCGCAGAGTGTCTTATCCTAGCTGGTCGTGGCTTGGATGGGTTGGTTATGTGATTCCCAGCCCCTACCTTGAGGATCATGATAACGACAGGGTGGAACCGGACTCGATCCTGGCATTCTATTCTTTGATAAGTGATGGAAGCATATCACCTATTCAGACGGGTTTCGACTCTTCATCTTCCAACCTTTTTAACTTCACAACTCCCAAGTGGAAAGGCGAAATCACAGAGTATGGGCCCATAGACATGTCAAATATCTTACTCGCCTCAGAGCTGGAGCCTCTTGAGATGGCTCATGATCCTTATGATACCGGACGAATAGTATTCTGGACAAGTCACGCTGAAACTCTCATCCGACTTGAAAGCAATTCCGCCATCCACATTCTGACGCCAGAAGGGTTCCTGAAGATAGTGGCCGATATCCCGGAGATGGTTGGAAGGACTATGATACTTCATGATCCTGAAGAGTCCTTGGGCGAGGAAGAAGAAGGTGGGTTCGGAACGATGAACGAAGCAGACGATGGAGCAAGAGACGATAGCTGCGTCGACGATGTTTCGAGCGAGCTTTCAGCAATACCTCCTCCTCCTCCTCCAAGGTCGAAAGTTGGGTTGATTGTCATTTCTCGCCAATTTCTTTTTGATGTCCACCAAGATACGGGGCATTTGAATGTTATGATCGTAGAGGAAAGAGTGCGTGGTTCAGGGGTTTGGAGCCGCCTCGGCCTTTGCGTGGTTAGAGAGGAAGATTGGCTAAAACTGGAACTCAACTGGAGACTGATTATTCTTGAGTAGTATTGAGAAATCTCTTCTTTACTATAGTGTTTCTCAATGACGTTGGAGTCGAAAAATATATTTTTTATGTAATATGTATTATGGAAATCGAGCTCGGGCTTTAGTGAACGTTGAGTCTGGGTTGTTAGAGATGAAAAAGGATTCAGTGCCCAAAGAATTAGGGTTCAGGCTTCATTGACTCTTGAGAACTCAGTATAGCCTGTTTAAAGCTCCGTTAGTCAGTGTCTAGCGTCAGAAAGCTATACAAAGTGGAAGACGGAAGTTCGATGGATTTAACATGGCTGGCACGAATCGATGCGACACGAAACGGGCCCTGTTTCGCGCATACACTTCCCAATAGTATCCAGAGGTGCCCCGGGAAATTTATAATAGCAACGCTGTTTAAATACGCAAAAATCACAGTTTTCATAGCCATAACAATAGCGACTACCCTTTTTACGTCTTTCGCAAAGACATCTCGCTTGATTAGCTGGGTGTAAGTACGAAGTGTTATTTGCCAATGTAAGACCAATGTGTGAAGGCAAAGGTCGAGAGCTTTATAGTATATTCATTGTTAGTACTCCTTTTTTCAATGCTATCCAAGTCGCACATGATGTAACTAACACTTTCTTTAACTGTTTTAATATATTAGATTATTATACTTATTCCTCTTACAGTGTCCTTAGTTGCAAGTATATAGTAATTAAAGCAACTTACTCTTAATAGCAGGGAGTAATAGATAGACGTTAAGAAATAAAGGATATTACAAATTCGTTTTAGGATAGGAATTCAAATGTAACATAACAGGCAAGCTGCTTATATAAGTTTTCCAAGAATAATAAAAGGGGCATAGCAAGGGAACTTTTCAATTGACAATTGATGCACTTGTCTTTCTACAAGAAGGTAAAAATCAACCCCTTATGTATCCCCACTTCTTCATAGGAGTAAGTTTACAAATTTGAGAGGAAGCTGTTTAAGACTTACAGTTGATGCGAACTTGGGTCGCGAATCAAAACGTTTTCACGGCCCAAATATTCCTAGCTTTCTTCCTATCCCTGCATATATATTAGCCACCAAGATCATACTTAACAGCTAAGTATCGGCCTGAATGTCTTAGATATCGGATATTTAAGGATTGGCTTAATACTTTACGTCGCGATTTCTATGTAATTATCTCTTGTGTTTTCATAATTAGCTTAAATAATTAGTTTGCTTAGCGAGATAAAACGAATGACCTCTTACAGGAAAAAAGCTAATAGTGATAGAGCCATGCCACAGTGCGGCAGTATTGTCCCTAACCAGAGCGCGAGTTCTCGACGACTTAATAGATAGAATTAACGGGTTAACTTAATTTACAACTACATCAGTGCACCGATAACACGTCGCTCCGTCGGGATGTGGGCAGACTTCCGGTAAGAGACCTCAATCCATTACAATTTAACGCTTATCAGATTGATCAGATAGTTTTGTCGAATGGTGTGATTGGTTGAACGAGAGACAATGCTCCAACAGACCAGCTATTTTCGTACTGGCGCCTTTATCGTAAAAGCGGTATCGGATATATACACCTGCTTATTATTGCAGTCGTCGTCTTGTGCCGCGCGTCAGAAAGAAAGAATAACAGTCCGCTCCTCAACTCAATCGGCATCATTCCAAAACTCACCAACTGTATTATTCAGTTTGAAATCCTATGCGATCCTCTCCTAAGAGCTATCGTCACAATGGCCTTGCGCACTACTGTAGCCGCGTTCGTTGCCCTCGCTATCGCCTCGCCCTTGTCATTTGGCCCAAGCGCCGAAACGGCCGCTCAGAGAGGACCTCAAATCTTCAACTCAGTCCATGACTCACTACGTAAATGGGGCAGTACAGTTCACCCAAATGGAATGTCCTTGTATCTAGCCACGATTCCTGAAGGTGTGCTACTTCACCACGGGAATGGACGAAACGAGACTCCAACGAGTCTGGACTGGCTTGCCTATGAAATCGAACACGCTGAGATGTTTGCTCGCTCAGGTCGCCCAGGGCCCCCGGGGCCTCCAGGGGGTCGGGAAGAACTGCGTAAGAGAGAGAGTGATCAAGTGCAGCTTCTCAATCCAAGCATAGAGCCCACAGAGAGCATGCACGGCTGGCTTCATACATTTAAAACTACACGACCGCTTCAGTTCCTTTATATTGACGGTATGAGCGGCGACAAGGGAAATACAGGAGTTATTGACTCGCAGGACTACCTGCTTCGTGGTGTGCGCAAACACAGGAAGGGCTCTCAGGTAGAAGAGAAGCTTGAGACTAAACCTCCAGGGCCACCAGGGGAGTTCAAGAGAGCACAAGATCTTTGCGACCTCTGCGCCGAATGGCGGTTGGAGGGTGTCATCCGAGCCGAGGGCGCTGGCTTTGAGGTTATCAAATGTGACTTCTCATCGGGTATGGAGCAAGTCCAGTCTTTGCAGCGGGCAGACTCGCAGAGAGGACCTCCTCGAGATCATGGGCCAGGCGATGGAGGCCACCGAGGCCCTCCTAGAGGGCCACGGCAAGGACCTCATCCTCCGCCCAACTACCGCGATATTGGGCCTGGTAGGACTATCTTGGATTACTCATCCATGGTCTCGGCTTTCTTTTTCCCAGTCAACCTGACGAATCCCGGCAGTAACTATGCGGACCTCCCACGGCTTACTGGCACCACCGAGGAGGAGATGTCGGCTATAAGAGGATATCTTGCTACGGTACTAGATGCGAGAATAGCCAGTCCGCTGGAGCCTTTCACCTGGAGAGACGTTTCTGATCTTATTGTCCACCGCTATGGAGACGAGATCTCATCTATAGCCAACAGTTCAGACTCAACAGAAACCGTAGCAAGCCGCATCCGCTTTCTTGTTGAAGTCTTTGTTGACTACGCGACGCCAGACAAGGATGTGCGGATAAGCCAAGCCCACAAGCGATGTTCAACCTTCTACATCCAGACGATGCCACTTAACACCGATGCTGACAAGCTGATTTACGCTGGTTTTGAAGCTGTAAACGCTGAGATATGTACAGCTCTGTTCAAAGCCCGAGAGCTTCTCGGTGAAAACGGTGCAGATGCTGACTCTGCGTCTTTGGAGGAAATCAGAGACACTATGAAGGCTTTAAAGATGTTTTTGTCGTGGAGCGATTACATGGGCAAGGAAGATTATAGATTTCCCTGACCTAATGTCCGTTGGCTCATATCCTATCGATCATACCGCGATGATATTTAATTGTTATAGTACATAGGTGTGCAATAATTAACATAATTACGGTGCAAACTAGCCGAGCTGAGTATCTGACGATGTCTTTATAAATGCGTATACTTATGACATGGTGTCCGGGACATGACCTCGGCCCGTTTCTGCTAAGCACGGCATCGAGAACTCAGAACGACTAATGGGAGGAAACTGAAAGATGAAGGTTCCATGACTAAGTACGATCAGACAAACCCAAATATGATGAGCTTGGAGCAAACCGAGGGAGAATGAAAGGCAACTTGTAGTACTGTCACTGCACAAGTTTGGGTATTACGTCGTTATACAAAACAATAATCTTTGCCTAATTGTATTGTCAAGAAACAACAATACAGGGTAGCTTCAATGACCGGAGCGTAAAAGCGCGCCAATTAAACACTGACGGACTGGAAGATCAATTTACCGACCAGGCAGCTGTTGAACCATTTCCGTACCCTTGTTTCATTACGTGGTTGCCGACCGGCCCCTGGTGCCTGAAAATATCTGACTCGTAAAGTTGAGCTTTAAATTTCCTCACCACAATAATCAAATAAATGTCCTCATTGACATATATCGACCAAGCTGACCCCGGCGAAAATGGTTGGTTTATCCAGCACAAGACCTCTGATCTGATATCTTTATTGCTTGAGTCGAAAGATGCTAGCGACGGTTTGCGCCAAATCAAGCGCCTCATCGAGCTCCTCCTATTGTCCAATCATATTGATAAAGCTTATACGCTCATTTGCGCCTTGCATGAGTATCACAAGCTTGTACTTGCCCCGTCTTCTTTAAGCAACCAAGATGCCTTTCAACTGAGGAGTCGGCCTTTCGATAATTTCTGGGAGGCCCATCCTACATACAATAATCCTTTTCGTGGCCAAACCGAGAGTTCAGACGCGGCGTTTCATCGGAAAGAAAGGCTTGCTAAGCAACAATGGTATGAGTATTCAGAATGTACCCGCACTGGCTGGATGCTTGAGCATTGCAGCCTACCAGAGCCGAAAGATGTACATATATGGCGCGAGACTAACGATGCACCAATGATCGCAATGTGTGCGCGACTACTGGCCAAGAACAAGACGCCAGGCCAATATGCTACTCAAGAAAATATGGAGGAAGCTCTTGCTGCGGCAAAGAAGCTATATGCGCAGCCTCAAGTTCCTGTCACCCAGTGGGAATTTAAATGGAACGGACATCAGACCGTAAGAAGACATTCTTACTTACTCTATCGACGACTAGTAGTGGAGTTGGCGATTAGACTTGGGGAATTTGATACTGCTGCCGAAATTCTGTCTTTGGGACTTAGGCTCGATGGTTTCAACGACATTGATGGGGCTCAATTGGACCGGTATTTATTCCTGCCAGGAATCTACAGAGTATTGCCCCTTTTGGCTGAGAGTAAAAAAGAAGGGAACCCGTTCTACATTGAGGGAGACGACGCTGATACGATGATTGAACAAGTCATAACGGCGTTGAAGGTACGTGTCCAAAACGGGCGACAATGGTCACTTGCACCAGAAAGAGTTGGCTGGAAAGAGTTGCTTGATAGACTTGCCAAAGCTGCATGGACAGTGAACCGCAAAGAGTATGAAGAACTAGGTCTCACTTGTGCCGAAGATATTCTATATTCGCCAGCCACAGAGGAGGAGATATCAGAAGTCGAAGCTAAGGTTGGTGAGCTACCATCTGACTTTAAGGACATGGTCCGTGTTGCAAACGGGTAAGTCACGGCTTTGCTATTCTGTCGTTGATCTATTAACTCCTTCCAGGTTTCAGGGAGGTTGGCATTTTCTTAAGGGTGGTATTAACGGTCTCGATAACATTAGCCTCGCCGATGATGACGTGGAAAACTGCATGTGGTTCCTTGGTGACCTAGACCAAGATATTTATTCTAAAGTCATTGCCCTTTCACCAGCAACGGAGTGCGATGGATTCATGCATTTCATGATCTCACCAGCATATTGGAAAAATCCAGAGAGTAGCGATGGCGAGAATTTCGATGACGGAGAATATCCGTACTGGCAATGGGCTTCTTGGCAGGCTGGTGAGTCTTGTTGGCACAGCTTCCGCGAATGGGTTGCCAGTGAAGTTGAGCACCTTGAGATGATGGTGAAGAAGGGAAAGATACTTGATGACGATAATTGAGGCCTGATGGATAATAGTGAGAAAGAATGAAATGATTAAACTGCTCCTTTTGGCTACGGGAGCAGTGGCTCGGCGTTTCCTTGGATATTGTACCAGAATGCCTAACCATTGACTATAGCATAATGCTGATAGGAAGGAAAACTAGATGACTCTTTTGCCGGCCTTGAAGGCATATAAGATGCTCTAATTCCTCAGCCAAGAAAGGTTAGCTCAATGCCAGTAAGATTGGTCTCATTGTGGTGCGGCACAAGCTATCAGAACAACATTATGTTTCATCAAGCATGCCCTCTGACGCCTTCCACATCACTATTAAAGCAACTCTACTAAGCATCGTTTGACGGGACACGAGTAGCTGGGACTTTCAGTGTGGTAAATTTCCAGGTTTTACCACCATCCGGTGTCGACATCTGTCCTCCAGTTGCACCCTGCGCCCAGCTTCCAGTTTGTCCGAAGCTAGGGTCGGCCTTGCTAAGAGTAACGGAAACATTCTCCCAGCCTATTATCATGTTAGTACTTATTCTCTATTCCGACAAACGGAGAAGCATACTGTGTGCGGGAGTAGTAGCACAGTTGCCCTGCGCACATTCCATTGCAATGTAAAAGATCTCTCCGTGCTGCCCCTTGCCTGTAGAGGGCCAGTTAGTTCTATTATACCAGGGTTGACATATCCTAAGCACATACTAGTCGAAACAGTGGATACAAGCTTGTCGTCGATGGTGACGTTTTGATCCCACATTTGCGTTTGAGAGTTCAATTTATCTTTTAAGTTAGATTAGAGCGCGCATATTGTTTTTATTAGGAGTATACATACATTGAGTCTTGACGCGTGATCCAGGAGAAGCTGTGACAGTGTTGCCGTTCTTAGGTTGAGAACCTTGCAAAACGTAATATTAGAACCAGTCGGTCAAGATTCATGCCATCAAGAGATACTCACTGCCATTAATGAGTGCATACGCAAAGTTACACCATTTGCTGCCGAGGTTGGTACAGTATCCCATTCTAAAAAAAACTTAGTCTAATCTTCTCGTGTATGTAGTTAATGTCGTGTGTTGCTTTACCCTGCGGGAGCGTTCTCAGTGACTCCTTGGAGGAATGATTCTTGGTTCTGCATCATAATGGCGCTCCATAGAGCAACATCTCCACTGATGGGGTTGGGGATAGCTGGGAGAACAAGCGTCGCAGAAGCTTCCTGGATGTAAACACCGGATCGAGTAACCAAGGTCACGACGTCGAGATTAGCTGCTGCTTGCTGCAGAATTATTGCTAACGTGCCGATCGTTGTGAAAGTCCTCATATTGGTGGCTGCTGGATAGTCGGACTTAGATTGAATTGAGAATACTGTTTGATAGGGTTAAAAAGGTATGTTAGCAGCGAATGAAGGGCACTTTACATAGTGTCTAGAAATGCGAGGTCCAAGGGTGTCTTGCTGGTGTTCGCTTAGATCAGTTAGTTGAAACGAGGATCTGTGCACCAACAGGCCCAATGTATATCTGAAACCAAAATCCACCAATAGTTTTCGAGCTTATTACGAAGACATGGTCTGTTTCTCCTGGGCTTTGGTATTTTAGCAGTAAGAGCCACTTACACGAAGCAGTTGGAAAACCATAGGTAATGGGTGCGGTGTTATAATTTCCCGGCGCCTTCGGAGTAATTGGGATCCAATGCCGGATCTGCCGAGATCACGAGAGAATAGTTACATGTTTGGATTAAAGGCATATTCCACTGTTTTGAGACGTATCATTTCAAGGATAGCTTGAATATTACCTTCTACGGGCGACCCGCACTTGACTATAAATAGAGATATGCAAGCTGTCCATGCATAAAAGGAAGTCATATACTGCGGCTTTCGCGGCATCCCATGAACCGTTTTCAATCGATTGAAAGGCATAATCCAACATAAACAAAAGCAGTAAGTAAACCCGGTAAGTGAAAGCATACTTTTATCATAGGCGCCAAGATCGAAAAAGTCAAGCTATAATATATGGATTGCTGAGGAGAAGACTCAAGGAGAAGGATTATTACGTCTATCTTTGCTAGCTATGACAAAAACGCTGCGGCTCGTCGACATTGAGACAAAGGAATCAAAACATGCTCCTCGAACTGCGCCAAAAGCTCCTGGTCGGTAGAAAGCCCCATGCCGCCCTGGCCAGTAGCAAGACACCATAGTACCACTCGCGTGAACCGACTGCCCATCATGCCTGGCATGTCGCAGCCGACTCTGTGATGCAGATACTGCGGAAAAGGTGCATCCTGCCATTCCTCTCTGGCAGCTTGGCTTGACTGCAACTCGTCAATCCTTCGCCAGAACCCCAACTCAGATAGCATTACCCCCAAACTGTATAAGTCATAGCTCTTGAGATAACCTTTTTGTTGATACTCGCGACGTGCTCTCTTCTTACCGGTGGCATTTGGATGCCTATAGAGATCTTGCTTGCTAGGTCTGTTATCGCCAGCCGAGACCTGCCCAGGCTTGTCCAAGCGAGCAAACTCGAACCCTGCAATGACGAAGTCAACGGTCCCAGACTCCTCACAAGAGTTAGCTGAATTGATGACCCGGAGGCCATTTGCGAGTACAATATTATCGCTGCGTAAAGATTTGTGAAGCCATCCTGCTGAAAGGAGTTGAAATACGGAAGCTGCAATATTCTGAGCAAATCTCAACCGTATCTCAGTCGCTGGTAAGCGATATGAGTCATTATTGAAGGCATCATACAGCGACTCCAGTCTAGACTGAGTTTCGATTGTAGATATTTGAATTGTTGGCGAATACTCAAGAACTATTCCGAACCATGTTGAGCTAAAGTTGCTGTCTTTAAAGTAGCCCAGGCAGAATGGAAGATGGACATCTGGATGGTTCTTCAAGGAGCTCAAAAGCCAGCAAAGCTTAACAACATCAGCCTCGAAAAGCCTGACATCGGTATACAACTCTGGATTGAATTGTCGCCATTCAATAATAACTGGCCGAGGGCTGGAAGAAAATTGGGTACTGCTCATGAGAACACTGCAGCGATCCATCTTCCGGGGCAGTACCCCATCTTCTGTGCTCACAGAATAATCCGCGATGTAAAGTTTCCGCATCCTGGCGTTGGTCTCTTCAATAGTAGGAACCGTATCTGGGGACAGGGTGCGAATAGAGAGCGTTGCACGGAGGGTTTCCAAAGCAACTGCGTCTACTGTGTTGTTCTCGGATGCAATTCTGGCCGCAGTATCAATACTGGGTATAGATTCTACGGATGTGGATGGCATGATATCCGTAAGAATCTGAAGGCTCAGAAGCTGTTTATCCGAAGGCAGCAATCGTTCTAGTCCCTCCCTGATAGTTTGAATATCTCCTATAAGTTGTCGAAGGACCTCTGCATTATGGACGGCCCATTTGAAAGGACTGGACTTTACACCAGTCTTCAATATATAGTTAGAGAGAGTGGTGTGCCTTCCGGGCAAAGAAGGCTCCGCTGCCTGTGTTGGTAGAAATAGTGGTTGCATGTCTTTGCTATGTTTTTCAATCAGACGCCCAGAATGCCTAAACAGAGCAAGCATTGTGGTTAGACGCTCGCGGGCGATGGCGCAATCTTCCGTTGAAATGACAGGCACCTCGCCTGGCGGGCCGATTAAGACGCATTCTGCCCATCTCCGAAGAAGGACACTCTCGAGGTGTAGCTGGCCTCGGAGCATGGTGATGTTGCCTTTGCGGTCGCTGGCTATGTAGCCAAGTTTGAGGACGTCGATTGCAGTACCAACGAGGCCAAGTACACCTAGAACAGATTCGGCCATTTTGAAAGCTCTGGGGTCACGTAATCACGAATCTCCTGATGACTGTTTTCCCGTTGAACCTGGAAGATATAAGGAGCTGAGTATCACCTTATGTAGATATGGAATGAAATCCTTCCCCCGTCAAAATACGGAGATGTAAGATTTCAGTCTTTTTACTGGAGGGGGTCACGAGGATTCTGGCTGATCACCATGTAAATCTGGCGCTAAATAGCTTCTATCATTGGATGTCACATAGTTTCATTGTTTTCAAGTGTCCATGCATGCTGTTCAGCCAGCCATCAGCTTTCAGCTTGGCTTGAGGTTTCCAGCCATCAGCTTTCAGCTTGGCTTGAGGTTTTCAGCCACCAATGTTGCATTTGCGAAAGGCCAAATTACATTTAAACAGCGATAATCGTTCCGACCTAATCGCCCTTTTACCAACCGAGTTTATCTCGAGCAACCGATTTTAACAGTCAAAATTCATCAACTCGAAAAACACGTGCCCTTGTCTATTTGAACACCCGAAACGCAACGCAATGTTCAGCAGCGTAGCCCAACGATTGTTCAGCCGACGCCCTGCCAGAATCGGCCAAGTTGACGAACACCATGAAGTCTATGACTTTGCGTCCTTCCTCATGGTTTTCAATGACATTTTCGTCAGAGATAAGTACTATCAGAGCTTTGGCATGGTTAATGATCTGCCGATCAGTAATGAGATCGGCCGCGGCGGCCAGTTTATAGTTCGGCTCTTCCGGTTTCCTGAGAACATGTCGGTCCGTACGTCAGATGATCCCTCATCCAGACTCACAGCCGGGGCAGAGGTAGCTCTGAAGTGGCCCAACCTCGAAAGAGCTGGCAACTTAGATGAGGCGGAGGTCATCAGGTCAATTACCACAGAACTCTCGGTAATCTCCCATCCTAGGATCAGGGAACATCCTCGCATCTTGGACGTCTATGGATTCGCTTGGGACAAGCAAATAATAAGTTCAGGGGAGTCTATCCTACCTGTAATCATGGTAGAATATGGGGAACATGGGACACTGACTGAGTTCCTTGGGCGCACGCAAAAGGTTGACCTTGATACCAAGCTGCTGCTTGCAAGCGACATTGCTCATGCCGTGCACGCCCTTCATCAGAACGGGATTGCACACTCAGACCTCAAACCAGGGAACATTCTAGTAGTCCACCATGATACTGATCTGAGGCCAGTGGCCAAGCTCAGTGATTTTGGTCTTTCTATTTTCCTTGACCAGCACGACTCAACAAAACCATGGACTGCTGGGACACCTCCGTGGATGGCCCCAGAACACATGACACCTGTCACGACAGAGCAGCTTGTCAAGGCAGACAGTGAGTTTCGACGTTCCAGGTGAAGACAATTGCCCACTGACTAGACTAGTTTATGGCTGCGGTTTGATTCTGTGGTCACTCTTGCTCGATGGGATACCACCCTGGAAACTCGAAGCCTTCGAAAGTGATAGCCTCGAAGAACTATTCAAGTCTGTTAAGAAAGACGGCAAGATGAGTCCCGAAGAACTATTCGAGTCTGTCAAGAAAGACAGCAAGATGCTCATTGACATAGCCATCGGATTTATGCGTGATGAAGGGATAGTCCCCGAAGCGAGACTAGATGAGATCAAATACCTCTTCGAATCGCTGCTCATGACTCCGGCGGAAAGGTCATTGGATCTTCTTCTTTCTTATCAACCAAGGTATTAAGCTAATCGCGCCATCAAGATGGATGAGACCTTCAGCTAATATACAACACAGGTTATTACCAGGGCCATCCATAGTCACTAATGGATCGACTCCTGTGCAGCGAGCCAGTACAGAAGTCGTAAGCTAAGAGCAAGCCTCAAACACTTGTCAGCAGTCTTACTAATGGAATTAAAAGGCGATTGGTGATTTTACAGACCTGCATGATTTGCCTTTAATCCTACAGCGCCAGATACTCATGGCTTTTGTAACTATCTCGGGCCGATCAGAAGAGGAGACCGCTGAGGCTCACCATGCTGCCGCTATCATGAAACTTCTCAGAATCGGGACAGTCGCTCCAAGCGCTCCAGCATCAGCAGAGTACACTGGGTACCGGATTGATGCAACAGAAGTTCTTAAGCTACTCGAGTCTGCCGCCAACGAGAATACTATTCCAAAGGGTTCACCGTCCTCGCAAGCGATATATCATCGGGTGAGCAAGGCCTTAAAGGCACCATATGCGAGAGACAGTAACCTGTTGACCACTATCCAAAACATTCCAAACTCCAATGCGATCTCTGGGCAAACGACCATTAAGTGGCTAAGACGAGCAACGATGCTGGGATCACACGTTGCATCTAGTACCCTCCGAGAACTCGATCCCAATGCATGGAGCGAAGCACTCTCAATGTTTCGAACTGAGTATTGCGGTGTCGGAAGGAAGCTCCTCCAAAGTTCAACATACAAGGCGAAAATCACAAGTCATTCATTGCTCTCAGATAGATCCAGTATGCCTGAGTTTGAGACCATCCAAGAATCTGGACACACCCCTCTTCATGTTGCTGCTACCATTGGCAGCCTTGACATCGTGCAGCGTCTCGTACAAGATGGACCGTATGAGTTGATCAATATGCAGAATATAAGAGGCGAGACTGCTCTTCTTCAAGCCACTCGGTCGGGGAACTATGCTATAGCGGAGTATCTTATAGCAGCCGGAGCCCGTGGCGGCATCTTGACTGACAATATGGAGTCTCCTCTTCACTGGCTCTGTGCTTTTGATGACAGAGATAAAGATGAGTTGGTGAGGCTGGCTATATCGCTATGCCATAGTGGAGCAGATCTTGACGGAGTTTGTGCTCCCAATACTGTCTTTAATGAGCACTTTCGCGATACTGTGGGTGGCGGAACACCTCTCTGTCGTGCAGTACAACGCGACTCATACTTAGCTGCTGAAGTGCTGATCACCCTAGGAGCGGATCCATACAAAGACAGACAAGTCGGTGAACAGAGCAGGGCACCTCATGCAGCTGCACTTGCTTGTTGTGCGCATAACTCTCGCATGCTGCAGTTGTTACTCACCTCCGATACGCCGGTTCAACCTCCTAAATGGTACGGAAAAGCTGGTATATTTGACCCTCAGTACACTGGAGAAGCTTTGAGAGCATATATGAACGGAGAACCTACGATACAATCCGCTGCTCCCAATGTCTGGAAATCGATGATGGAGCGGGGTGCTCAGACCTCATTACTGGGATATGCAGCAAATCCAGATCCGCTTCATTATCGGATGGCACTGCACGGGGAATCCTATTTGCAGGAAATGCAGCTGACTATAGATATGTTGGCATCGGCCGAGTCACAAGAGTTTGACCGTGTTACGTTCGACTATCAATCTGCAATTAAGCATTCTATCCTCAGTAGGGACATATCAATAGTCTCGTATCTCCTGGCCGCCTATCCCGAGCAGACGATTCCCGAATTGACCAACCCTGTTCCATCAGGCCTGCAAATGCGTTTGCCTGTTCAGCTTGCCCTCTTCAAAGGCGACAAGCCTATCTTCGACCTTCTTTTAAAATACGCAGGTCCAGACGCCAAGTTAGCTCCGCCCAAGATGCAAGGAATGACGGATAACTGGCTCAGCCAAGGGCTCCTTCGGCTTTTGCGTCCAACATCAAGTATTGCATCCGAAAAGGTCTCCAGAACTACAAAAAGCACAATTCACCTGGCTGCGTTTGCTCATCCCGACCCGCACTTTATGCGCGCTTTATTAAGCAGGCTCTCGTCCGTAGAGGCGCGCTCGCTCGTTAACAGCCATGGAAAAATATGGGACGAGATCCCTCTGACGATGGCTTTGCAAAATCACCATTTTCATGTGGCGGATGTATTACTTCAGTATGGTGCCAATATTGAAGAAGAAGCATCCAACGTCGGTCATAAGCCGGGCCAAAGCACTACGCCTCTTGGAGCAGTGATAACATTTAATAATGGCGCCACAATGGGAGCTATGGAATGGCTCCTGCGACATGGCGCATCAAATATTGTCAACCGAGAGTATGGGATCACGGCTTTGATGACTGCGGTGAGAGCAGGGACGATGTATGACATCTCAAAGACAAATCCATTAGTGCCTACAAAAGTGTATGAATACTCAAGGCTAGCTGTTCTTGAGAGACTTCTGCGGCATTTCTGCACACCAGAAGATATCGACCACAAAGCCAAGGGCGTGGCAGACATGACAGCGCTTCATTGGGGAGTGTTAAGGTTATGGCCGGAAGCTGTGAGCCTGCTGCTGAGGTCAGGCGCAGATGAGAGCTTAACGGCTGAATTTATGAGACCAGTCACAGCAAAGGAATTAGCAGAAGCACTAGATAAGGAGGATATTCCTTCAGAGGCAAAAGAAAGAGGACCAGATGAGACTGCAAAATATCTAGCGAAGTTTAAGTTATTACGGGAAGCCTTTCTATAATAAGATATAAAAATAAAGACAGAACTACAAATAAAAGTTAAATAATAAAATATAAAAGTAATATTATAAATTTTCTTTTATATCTAAGTAATTTATAAAGTAGCTTATATTACTGATAGAAATAATAGTAATATCTGCCTATATAATGGCCCTATGGATCTGTCTAACTACAGTAATAGAGCTGTCACATGGATACTGAACTATAGCTATTGAAATAGGGTAAAGCTTTTCTTACGAGGCTCAAGGTTCTTTCCTTGGTAGGACCCGGTATTGAAAAGTCTCAACACCACGCCTGCTTTTATACTGCCAGCTTGTCAGACCCAGAGTGCTGACGTTGCAGGGCTCAGATGGAAAGGCGGACTTGGTGTGTCCGAGGATTGTCTTTATTCAATCCAAAATGTCTAGCTCTCTACCTGATGTTGTCAGTGTTACTATATAGTCGATTGCTGCCATAGGGTTAAGCTCGAGGCTGCCAATACAGGTGATAAGGACATGATGATTTGCTCTATATAATATAAGCTTCGATGTTATCAGTGTTCTAGTTAAGATTATAAAAGATAAAGAGGTTTATTGCTAGGATGACCTGTAGGTTTTAGGACTGTTCATTATAATCTACTAACTGCGCTTCGGCTTATAATGCCCTACCAGGACGGCTAGGTTCCTGTATGAATCACGGATCTTTACATGTCCGACTGCAAGGGCTTAACCTTTTCCGACCGCAATACTGGTTCTGTGATCTAGATATATAAATTTACAACTCTTCCTTTTCTTCTAACCGCGAATGGTAAGAGAATTTTATTATCTTATTTCGATTTTTATTTCACGTTTTTACTGCAAAACCGGTCTAGGTCGCTGTTCAAGCCTCACAATCCTCTGGGATTTAATAATATCACCGTCGGCCCGAACATCGAAATTCTGGAGGCCCGTGACAAACTTCACTGGCTGATACTTCCAGAACCAAAAGCGCCGACCATGCATAACCGAACTCTGCACCATTCCTCTTATCTATTGCGCCGGTGACTTAGGCGCCCAGGCGATTGGGGGGATGTATATGATCCGTCCAGATCTCTAAGAACGTTAATTATATAAGCGACTATCTCGTTACCCAGCCATAAATGGTTCATGTTCTTAGGACATCGATTTAACTATGAGTCTGCAGCTCTGTCCACAGGCGTCAAGGCTCTTGTCAATCAAGCTATCTGCACTCCGCTTATCAATGTGTGTTTCTTTGGAGCTCACACTTTGCTGTCAGGCGAAAACGTTCCTAGTGCGACTAAGCGTATCAAGACAGGCGTGGCGTTAAGTATTCCCAGGAGTATCTTGCACTGGCCGCTGGTGACTACTCTCAACTTTACATATGTTCAACCACAGTCGAGATCTACAGCTACTGTCTTCTGGCAATCTTACATGAGCTACTCGAACCACCGAGTGGAAACTCAGAACAATATATCTGGAGACACACCGAATCCGGTTGCCGTAAGTGGAGTCGTTGTTCTCAACAATTGGTCTATCAGCGCCATCTGTCCAGCGTTAATCGTTTTTTTACTATAGACAAACTCCTTCAGCAGTACCTCAGAATCCCGGATAAAAGCTTTACCAAACAACAGCAGGGAACCACGCCCGCCCAAGTGCTATTAAGCGATTAATATAATATAATATTAGCCCTTAATTAGAGAAGTATATACTTATTCAATAAGATATAATTCAAATATCAAAGGAGTACTAAATTAATAACAGCTAACACTACTTGATCTGAACTACAACTTTGCCAAAATGCTTCTGGTCTGCTAGGTACTGATAAGCACTAAGATTAATTAGCTAGGCTTTTCAGTGGCTTTGATATATCATTAACTTACTGCTTGAGCTCCTCGAGCTTAAAGACCTGTTGGTCGAGAACGGGTTTAATATCGGAAGCCTCAATTGCACGAATCTTATCAAGTTAACAACCACTCAATCAAGCCAGCAAAAGGCTCATGGAGGAATTCCATTGCCAGAGTACTTACCATTGTTTCGAATTGATCTCGGCTTCCGACGACAATTCCCCTGACAACCGCCATGCTGGACAGGATTTGAGGAAAGCTCGGTCCGGTCTCCCCCGGCCCAGCAATCCAACCAATGATGGTTACAAGACCACCAATATTGACGGCTTTCAGACTCTCCGTCACAGTGTGCGCGCCACCAACCTCGATGACATGGTCAACACCACCTTCTGTGAGCCTCTTCGCCTCTTCCCCCCAGTTCGGAATCTCCTTGTAGTTGATGACGTGATCTGCTCCGAGCTCCTTCAGCTTCTGAGCCTTGGATGTAGAGGACGTGGTGGCAACAACTCGAGCACCCGCAGCCTTGGCAAATTGTAGAGCAGAGATACTAACGCCGCCTGTACCCTGTGTCAAGACCCAGTCGCCCGGAAGGATTGCCTTGAGACCGTAGAGAGCATTCCACGCCGTGAGTGCGCTGCAAGGCAGCGTTGCAGCCTCCAGATAACTGAGGTTTCGTGGCATACCCACAAGTCCATTCTCGTTAAAGACACCGTACTCCCGCAGAGTGCCATCAATAGAGCCACCTACTCCCGATCCCAAGACCTTTGGCGTCAGCGGTCCACCAAAGTATGTTTGCATGAACAAGGTCACGACCTTGGAACCCTTCTCAAAGCGGGTAACCTTTTTTCCTGTGGCCACGACTTCTCCAGCACCATCGGAGCCTGGAATGATGTTTGGCTCGACAGCGAAAGGATAAGTGCCCTGAGCAAGTTAGTCAGATTGATGATAGTATAGATTTCTTGGTTACCTGGGCAATCATGATATCGCGGTAGTTTAGAGAAGCTGCATGGAACTTGACCAGCACTTCGTTGTCAGAGAGCTCAGGGAGAGGCTGTTGGGTGTCAAACTTGAGATTGTCAAAGCTGCCCTGGCCCGCTACAGCCCAAGCCTTTGTAGTTTTTGGCAAAGACATGGTAAATATAATGAGGTGGTGCTTAATTGTAGTAGATATGTGAAGAAACTTGATTCAGTTGCTGCTTGATGGGTCACTTAATACGTGGGTTGAGTGCATGATTTTATACTTAAAGAAATAGACTTCTGCGAGCCTTGCTTTAATAATGGATATGTTAATTACTCCACCTGGGATTGTGCTGCTGACCAATTCACATAGGAGGGTTAGAATTACAACCAGTTCCGTAATGATTTCTCCTGACCGGTGCTGAGAGACTTAGAATACCTGTATTTGGTGAGGACGTAGTTGTGTGCAGATAGTGGATCACTGTCCGTATTAATACGGTAGCGCGGTCAAGCCATGTGGGGGCAACTCAAGGGGCTCTGGTCTCTGCATAGCATTAGTTGTTGGACTAAACCCACTGCGGTATTAACGTAGCTGGACGAGGTCAATCTAACTACCACTTTCTAGTAAAGAATACAAAGCCCTTATGTGGTAAGCTTATCAATGGCAAGATTTCCCCCAAAGACAAGACTTCCCGGCCATTTCATAGCATGTTCCCACTCATCTCCAAGAACCCCATTGATGTAGCTCAGCAAACCGCTTGGCCAGGGATTCAGACACCAATGCTCCTGATTATAACTCATCAAAACAGCGAAGTGACCTAAAATAACAAGTGCTACGGGGTGACGAGCTGAGCACAGATCCAGAAAGATCTGGCTTACCTCAAGTCCCCAACCCCAAACTATCTTTGCAGGCTCAGGGTCGCCGACGTTGTCCGAAAGCGTTGCAATACGGCGGAAGAGTGCTTTCACGGCATGGAGGCATGCTTTCTTCTCAATCCCTTGAACCTGACTAATTATGCATCTCTGTAGAAATTCAAGCGGTGGATATCTTGTTTCAAGGTCATTCCCAGTGTCTTGGTGATTGGTAGCAAACTTGTTGAGAAGCCATGATCCCGAGACGACAACTGGGGGGAAGCTCTGATGTACAAACATAATTGTAGACCTACTAAAGCGAAGTGCTTTGAGCAGCTCCTCAACCGGGTCGAATGGCGATTCGGAGCGGATGCCACTTGGGCGATAGATTGGTTCCGCTACGGCATACATCGATGTGAAAGCGGAAAACCCCAGCAGAGCTTGTTCATGCGCCTGGGTCAAGGATTCAAAATGCGGCCTAGCTCGAGTAATTGCAGCTTGTTGGTGCGCAACAGCTCTGACGTACCATTTGGACTGAGAGCGATCTTCACTGTAGAGTTGAAGGGCGGTGAGGCCCAGGATGCTATTCAGTAAGTAGTGGTGAGAGAAGCCCAAGCGAACAAGGTTGTATTGCAGCAGCCTTGTAGTCTCCGTCATGTCGCCTGTCACAGGATATCGGTGCCAGTGCTCCAGCAACTCCAGATCAGCTAAGCTGTCTTCGTTCAGTGGTGGCTTGGTCAGCGTGGGGGACGAGAAGCTGCACACGACGTTGGCCCGCTCGCATTGAAGGCATCGTGGATGCACCTCGTTGCACTAGGAAGGTTAGCTGCGGGTTCTCTTCCCTTGGCACAGGAAGGATATTCACCTTGGCGTGTTTCTCCTTGCATTGAACACAGCCCTCTCGGGACTTTCTGTGACCTTTCCGCTTTCTAATCATATTTACCATGCCTCCGTGTTGCATTTCAAGAAGATACGCTGGCGTCACATTGGGCCTGGGCGCCGTATAAATACGGCAATTAGAGTCTTAGTTAATCTCAGAACGCTGACAAATGAACTTCTGTAGCGCCCGCCACTAGTTAGCCACAATGCTCACGGCAGCAGACAGACGCGTGTCAACAGGGGGCATTTCATTGATTGCTTAGCACGATGACCTACCCTGCACCAACAACTGCGATCTTCGCCATTGTATTAATCTAGATAAGAAAAGCTTTGTCTTTGGTGTCAGTCCTGTGAAAAATTGAGAGAGGAAAGAGGATTCAGTTTTGGTCTATAAATAGTTAGTCTTTGACTTCAATGACTGTACAGCACCAAAAGACAGTTATATACAACGGGCAGAGAAACAAAGGAAACTCAACAGTGAAATACAGCCTTATAAAAATCCTTCCATAGCCCTAAAAGATCCACCGGAGGAAGAGGAAACAAGCAGCCTCAGCATATAGAGTGCTTCAGTAGGCTCGTTTAGACTCAAGTCACAATTAGGCACATGAGAAATTTGTCCGAGTGGCTGGTTGAAGCATCCTGATACCCGTTCTGATCGGGTTATTCCCCTCACTCCATCTTATCAGGTCTATCTTATCGATACCGATGTGGATGCCGCACCTTGCTTATCGGGATAAATCACGCTAGGTAGACGTCACCGAGACTTGGGGCAACTTCCAAGTTTCCCGAGACCAACACCTTGTTCATTGCGGTAATTCTCTTGGTTTGGCCAGAGCGTGAAATGAGATATCTGGGGTAAATCGATATGCCTCAGTCGGAGTCATTCATTCCTGGCCTTGAGGACTTGAGGACTCATGTCTATTGGCTAGTTAAACCTACCGGCACCGGAAGTATCCCTCCCATGCGTCCTGGGTGGGGTCGAGACTATTGTAGATCCTCCGGAGCCCGGGATACTTTATCCGCTGTAATTCGTCCGTCGTGCTTTTGAGTTAATATCCAACTACATGTACGGAGACTGAGTATAATATGTGGTGCAAGGGTTGATTGTCGGAAAGGTACGTCTTTCGACGGAGTGCTATGTTCCGTTAACCTAAGTGAGCTGATAATCAGTGTTTGATCGTTGCATGATTGAGAAAACAGGAAAAAGCTCGATGATCAGTTCGCGAAACAATAGTCCGACATTTAGAGGAGTTACGTTTTGAGCTACATAGATTTCGTCTTTAGTATAGTTATAAAAGGCAGAGACACATTTTGATTCGTTTTCTTCTCCAAGGATAGTTTGACGAAAACTCGAGCTCTGCCTCTTCAACATCCTCTTCTTTTGACAATCGACTTCGATATGAAATTGTTGTATTTCTTTTCACTAGGGGCTACCGCCTTCTTCAGCCTTGCGCTGTCCCAGCGGCCTATCGAAGACCTTGGTCGCGGAGTCGTAGCTGTTCGGGTAAGCGAGAATAACATTCTCGTAACTTGGAGACTTCTTGGTCTAGACCCCGATGGCATTGGATTCAATATCTACCGGAGCGCCGATGGTGACAGGACAATGCGTCTAAATGATAAGGTCCTCACTGGGGGAACCAACTTTCTCGACAAAACAGCAGACGAGGCTGTCCCAAACGCTTATACTGTCAGGCCTGTCGTGGACGGCAAAGAACAAACAGCTTCAGGCTCTTTCGTTCTGCCCGCAGACAATGCAGTCGAACCTGTGGTACGAATACCACTTCGTCCAGGTAAAACCATCAAGTATGTCTGGGTCGGTGACCTCGATGGCGATGGAGAGTGGGACTATGTCATTGACAGACATGATGCGCGCCAATCAATTGAAGCATACACCAGCAACGGAACCTTCCTCTGGGAGGTTGAACTAGGGCCTGGCAGTGAGAATCAGGACAACATTTCCCCTGGACCCTCTACCATTGATGTAGGCCACTGGGATGGTGTTACAGTGTTTGACTTCGATAGCGACGGTTATGCTGAGGTTGCTATTCGCATTGCCAATGGTGTCACCTTTGGAGATGGGAAGAAGTTTGACAAGGGCAAGAATGAGACTTATCAGTACATAGCCATTCTTGATGGACGCACAGGAGCCCTTCGTGCCTCTGCCCCATTGCCGACAGACTATATAGCCGATGGCCCCCTGGCTTGTAGAGTAGGTGCTGGCTTTCTTGACGGCAAAACCCCTCACCTGGTGGGTTTCCTCAAGAACCGCCGTAAGGACAAGAATTTCAACCTTCTCGTTATGGCATGGACCTTCGATGGTAAAGCGCTAAAGCAAGCTTGGAAGTGGGCACGCGGAGATCGGTACGAAGATTTTCCCGATGGACACAATAGTCGTATCGTGGATGTCGATGGTGATGGGAAGGATGAGTACTTTGAGATTGGATTTGGTCTCAATGGTGATGGAACAGTCAAGTATTCTCTTGGAGAGAAGGGCATCATCCATGGAGATCGATATCATATTGCCAAAATGGATCCTAAACGGAAGGGCCTACAGGGTTATGGTGTTCAGCAAAGATCTGAGGATCTCTTGTATGAATATTATTACGATGCCACTGATGGTACCATGATCTGGGAGCACCATGGAAAGGAAGTTCTTGACATCGGACGCGGTATGGTCGGCGACATTGACCCCACTCACGAAGGAATGGAGGTCTGGTCTTTTTCTGGAGGTTTATACAACGCTCGAGAGAATAAGCAGTTAGTAGACGACGCCGAACTTGCTCCCTGGCCTCATCTGGGAGTCTGGTGGGACGGGGATGCTCTGCTAGAGCTTTTTAATGATGGCAAGTTTGAGAAATGGGATTGGGAAAACCCATCAACATCTGACAAAGTGCCTCGCCTCCTCACTGCTAGCAAGTATGGTGGTGTCTTGAATGGAAGGTATCCGCTGCTTATCGGCGACATACTGGGAGACTGGAGAGAAGAAGTTGTCTTGACCAACGCTAATCAAGACGAGCTGCTGATCTTCACAACCGATCAGCCATCGGATATCCGTCTATATACTTTGGCACATAATCCCAACTACCGTAACGACCTAACAGTAAAGGGATATCTTCAATCTCATCATGTTGACTACTTTTTAGGCCATGACATGGAAACGCCCCCAAAGCCGAAGATTCGTTATACTAAGAAGGCTTAGATATTAGTTACAGCCAGGGGAGACCTAGGGTCATTATATAGGAACACTTTGCAAATATCATTTCTTCGCTGCTTCGAATATGTAATACGCGATCTCGTGCGTGGTGAGCCTCAAGCATGCCGACATCCCTTCGAGCAGCGAAAACCCGATTTTGGGTTAGCCCTCCATCTCTTCTCAAGCTCGACAATATTATTCTTGGCAATCTCTGTCAACAAGACAAGCCTTGCTAAATTGGGTGCGAAGAACGCCAAGGCTGCTGCCAGCTGATCTTACTATGGAGACATGAAAGTAATCACTTTTCGGTTTCTGTTCAGCCGGTAGCCGAGCGACCAGATTGAGAGACTATGAGATGGCGGAATTACAAATTCCGTGCCTGACAGAATATCCAGCTCAAGTCAGCTGAAGACCCAGGTGAGGGATAAACGAGTCAAGTTAAACGAAACGGAACGAACTCCCCGCATTACCATACTACGGGGATTGCGGGGAAGGAAGAGAATTGAAGCTAGTTAAACCTCTAGCAAGGTTCAAGACACCGTTATCCTTGTCACTTAGGCTGTCAGTTTCCAGATCGGAGTAACATAGCCCGCACTCGAAAGACTGGGGAAAGACATATAATAGGTCAAGTAATGGCCATCATGATAGTAATAGAATCAACAGACCATTCATTCAGCCTCGCCGATCGCTGCGAAACAATGGTTCACTTTATTTTTCTCGCAAGCCTTGGCTTAGGCAGTTCTGTTCTTGCTGCTCCTAATTATGTTGTTCCCGATGCTCAGCCGAAAAATGCCGTTGCAATTGATCCAGCACCCGTGGGAGCCTCGTAAGTCTCTGGGTGTGAATTGCTTCACTGGAATGATCTAACTCTGTTGACAAGATTCGAATTCTTCATGTGGCCTTCTTACATGACCAATATATCGTTGACCCTTCCTTGCATCGATCACTTTAACAAGCTGTACAATCGGAAAATGCCTATTCGCATTGGAGGAACGACACAAGACAGAGCGACCTACGATCCAGCTCTCAAAGGTTACGTTTCGTATAGTGTCGATGACCCTCTGGAGGCTCCTATGAGTCTGACCTATGGGCCGAAGTTCTTTGACCTGATTAGTACGTCCTATTTCTGTACTTTGGCTGAAACTTGTGCTGATTAGCAAACTTGAACAGAGAAGTTCGGGAGCGAGACCATTCTTGGTAATTGAATTGACTTGTTAGAAACGAACAACACTAACAAGGCGGAGGCTTTAATCGAGGCCTCAACAATAGGACAAATACCTTTGCTGCCGTCTTGAAAGCCAAGGAAAAGGTAGCCAAATACCTCTGGGCAATCGAACTCGGAAACGAGCCTGACTGTAGGACCTCTCATAAACATACTCTCAATATTGGGCAGCGTTGACTCTTTCTCACAGTGTACTGGAAGTATTGGCAGTACCCAGTAGCCGAGGCTCCCTGGAACGAGACACAGGAGGGTGATAATGCAGCTGACTGGGCACAAGACTTCATCTACCATTGGAAGAGCCCTCTTCCCATCCTGGCTGGAGGCGGATATGCCATCCCGTTTGAGATCGAACCAAATTGGCCTAACCTGCCCTACCTCATCGAAAACAGCTACAACAAAACAGTCAAGGATGCCACTAAAGTGTACAATGGCCACTTGTACGCATTTTCTAATGCTACCGCCGATGACTTGGGCCCGGAGATGAAGCATCAGAGAGTTGTCCAGGACTTGAACCTGCTGCCCATTTCGAGCGCCAAGGCTGCCGGAAGACCATATATCCTAGGTGAGAGCAAGTCTGCTACTTCTACAATCCGAAACTGCTAAAGAAAATACTCAGGCGAGACGGGATTCCATGGGCTCGACTATGAGATGGATTCGACTTTCGGATCGGCCATTCAGACAACTGACAAGACCCTTCGGGCATTGACCCTCGGTATTCAGCGACTATTCTATCACCAAGGCACAATCAACCAAGGTAAGTTAAGTAAAGCCATGAATTATAATGCATAACTGACTGACCCTTAAGCCTTCTTCAACTGGTGGTGGAGTGATCACGTTAATGCCCCGTTCTACGGTGCCTACTTCGGTGCTCTCGCTGTAGCTGGAGGCGACTCCATTGTTGCCAGCGACGATGGCACAGACCCTTATGCTCAATACATCGTTTACAAAAACGGAAAAGCATTCAAGGTCGTCCTGATCAACACAGATTACTACTCTGGTAGTGGCACGCGCTCTGGAACCAAGTTCACTCTCACTGGACTGAAAGGCAATTCTGTCAAGGCTCTCCGCATGACCGGCCCGAGCAGCGAAACAACTGTGCCTGTGACACAGACCAAGTCGTCGCCACAGCCTAGCATCGGAGGTATGGACACATTTTCCATCGATAGTCTTTGCTAACGAATCCTCGTAGGTCAATCGTTCTCAAACAAGAATTGCGAACTCGGCGGCAAGCAGAACACTGAAAAGCTTTCGGTTAAGAAGGGAAAGTTGGAAGTAACTCTCAAGGCTTCTGAGGCCATGATAGTATATCTCTGATGAACAATTGCAATTTGTGGATTGAGTCAACACAGGAGTCGATACTATTTATTCTTCGAAACTATAAGAAGCTTGTATATTCGTCTATGCAGCGTCATGGCCCAATGCAATCAATTACTTAACAGTATAGTCTTGTACTAGTATAAGACGAATTTAAATGTATTATTATCTGAAACGACTATATGGGGGAAGGACCTCTTCCGCCTGTTCGTATTCACTATCCTGGGTCATCTTCTTGTGTTAGCGTTTCGACTTCCAAGCTAAATAATGGTATCACACTTACGCAACGGAGCTGGCTATTGTCTTGAGCATCGTCAAGTCCATTCGATGCTATTTGAAGTGGTACAACAAGAGAGATCGTAGTGCCATAAGTGCCTATGGCTAGGGTGAGTCTAATCCGGTAGGTTCGGCTGATCAGACAGGAGTAAAAGGTAGGAAGGAATAGTGAATTCTCAGTGGGAAGTTTGAACGATTGTTGAATTGTAGCTTTGTATGCCGGAGTCTTGGACGAGTTAAGGCAACAGGACGCACACGAAGCTGAACGTGGTATGACCTGGGGTTCTGTGCAGTCTCGGATAATATGCGCAGGCTCTGAGCACCTCCTCTCTGACCCTTTCTCGGAGATGGGTTGATGACCTTTCTTCCAGTATACCCTTTCTCTATCTTTGAGAACGAGGGCATGTGAGGTCAGCCATGGTGCTGTTGGGGCAACCGAATTTGACGGTTTTTCATGATGGTCAGGTAGGTAGCCATCTATACCGAGCCAGAAATTTGTAAATGTTTCGATGGTGGCTGATTTGACGCGTATGTCAGGTGGCATTGCACTGGCCGAGGCCGGAATGTATTCCAGATCGATGGGTATTTGTGACTCGGTGGCGTTAAGTCCATCTAAGCAGAGCACGATGGGCTGTGGCTGAGTTGCCGAAGCCCGTACAAGCCCCATCTTTGTGCCTATGACACCTTTTCTGATGGTCTTAGTCTGCGACAAGCAGTACTCTGAGTTTTCAGGACGGACGTGAAGTGGAGGTTGCTCAGGAAGGGCTGGAATAACCTTGACGGAACGACTCTGATCGAGATACTGTTCTTCTCCTCGTTTGTTCTTGCTCAACACCAGACGCCCTCTGATCACATAATCGACATGTGCAGAGCCACCTGCGAGATCATCAAGCTCCCAAACACCCATGCTTGGTGGCGGACGCAAGTGTCGCTCCCTGACTGCTTTATTCTGGTGGTTGCACGCAGTGGTGGAGAGTTGCTCAGGGATCACGAAGCGAAAAGGAACGTGGTACAACTGTCCAGGTTCAAGTGACTGGTTGATAGGTAGAGCCGATGCAGATATTGGCATTTGTAACTGCATAAAAGTATGGGTCTTGAAAGGTGTGCCATACTGGAATGCGTGGCCACAGGTTGAAGTGATGCCTCTTAGATCAATCTGGAGAGACTGGAAAGGGAGTTGGTTGTGGGCTGTTATTGTGACGAAGCCCGAGATTGCGGAACCGAACGTATAGATTTTGGAATCGTAATGCCCATCAATGTTGATTTCAAGGGTAGGATCCTGCTTTGCGCGTGATGGAAGCAAGCATCTAGAAGGCATGATGGCAGTAATATGTGGGTTTTCGGTTTCTCGCCTGTTGGTTTTAGATACTGGTTCCTTGGCTGTCAAAGCCTGGCTCCTCTCAATCCTATATATAACAAGCTGAACAATACCCTTGTATTGCACGCTCATAAGCAAACGATGAAATGACGCCCTTCATGATTGTATTCAAGTGCTTCTGGGTTGAAGCAGACTCTCTGATTGGCTCTTATCCCGCGGTCCGAGAAGCGCTAGTTGATCAGCTCTGTCGTTCTGGGCCCAAACTCGCCGTGATTGGTTCATTTCCCCGAAGCCCGGACTCGCTGTCGAGATTGATTGGCTGATCATGCCGAGACTCAAGATAAACATTCAGAAATCGATTTCAGGATGACAAATACAGCCAAATCGCAGTATCGCGAACCTGCACCTGTCGTTTTACTGCTGGAGACTCAATTGCCAACCTCTTTTCTGACCTCGAATAGCTGTAACCAGTATCAAGCTGGGAGTGCTGAGCTGTCACAGCTGAGACTAGCCACAGCACGGCATTGCGCCACTAAAACGCCACACGTCTTTGGATTGTTGATGACAGCTACTAAGACAGACGGATGACTATTGATCTCAACTTTGTCATCATTACACAATACTACGTCAATCAGTGACCGAAAGCTAGACAACCCCAAGCTCTAATTGGGATACGGGATTTGTCTACAATACGTCAAAGCTGTAGTTCAGATGCCCTGTCATCGCCCACGATCGCAGAATATCGCAGCCAAGAGGTCACAATTGCCTCGCGTGGATGGACCTACTAGTGCGTTCACCTACACTCGCTCTCCTCATTTATCTCAACTGCTGACCGTTGATTCAAGGGCGTGCTTGCATCAACTGTCGCCAACGCAAGATCCGCTGCGATATCGTCGATAAAGGCGTTCCCTGTACGAACTGCAGCACTCATGGTCGATCAGGATGTCGTATATGTCCCAACAAGAAAGACGCGAGACAGTCCTCGCAGCGACCAGCTATTCTTGCTCCTCTGCGTCCCCGTCAATCCACAGACTCGCCAGCGGCCCCATCACCTGTAGTTACTGAGCCAGCCTCCACAGCAAGAGAAGACGGCGAGCAAGATCTCGGATCTCACCTCTTGAACCGCAATGACGAAACAGAGGTCGAGCTTAGTCAGGTCGAGCTCGGCCATCGGACTCGCTGTCATTTCATTGGGTCGGAGCTCTCAAACTGTCATTACCTTGTTCGACAGAGCACCTCTGAGACAGGACTCGACAAGGTGTTTCATTTCAGCAATGGCCAGTTAGACTCCTCGGAGAATTGGTATGAGGCACACAACATACCAGAAGAGATCCTTATACGACCGAACAAAGGGCTTGAAACCAGGCTGATCAGAGCGTATTTCGATCTCGTCAACCGCGGATGGCCAATTGTGGACGAGGAGCTATTCATGACACAATATCAGGAGCAGGATCGCATGAACCCACTGTGCTTGACGCTTCTCAACGCCATCCTACTCGTGGGAGCTCACACACTGGCATCTCAGGATGAGAGTATGCTTCCTCTGCTTCCTGCTTTCTTCCGAAGAGCCAAGTATCTGGTGTTGAGTGATTCATGGCATGATAGGCTTGTTTACGTTCAAGTGCCGCTGCTGCTGACGTGGTATTCTGATGCTAATGCTTGGCATTGGATTGGAATTGCTATCAGAACGGCAATGGCCATGGGACTCCACCGCGACGCTAGCCACTCTACGAATCTACCAGTCTATAAACGAAAGTATGTCCGGATCTGGTGGGTTCTCTTCCAGTTTGACACAATATCAGCGACCTCGGCTGGTCGGCCTCAAGCCATGTGAGTCTATCACAGAGTCCCAATTCTTCAAGACATGCCTACTAACCTTGTCAGAAACCTGTGGGATTCAGATGTTGCAGACCTACAGCCTGCTGACCTTGAAGGCATTCCGGGAGCAGAATTCGACTTTATTACCTATCACACCAAGCTTTGCAAGATCATATCACAAACCATAAGGGATGGTTGGTCACCACGAGCTTCCATGGAGGCACGAGCTAGGGCTATCAAGAGAGCAGATGAATCTCTTGGGAATCTGATGCTTGAGCTTCCACCAAGGCTGCAACTGAAACTTTCCAATCTTGATATCTGGCAGTCTCTGTTTCACCTGACCCATCACAACTTCATTCTGCTGATCCACCGCCCAGCACCAAAGTCCGGCATAAGAGTTCAAACTCCCGAGGCACAAGATAATGCTATCCTTTGCAGGGAATCAACAGTAGCGATTGCATCTGTCTTCGAAGTCTTACTCAGCAAAAGGATGATCTCTTCATTATGGCTATACAGTAACCATGTTCTGTTCACAGCAACTATCTACATTCTGAACCAAATCAGCACTAGCAAGCCGCTGTTAGCTGCCAAGTCTCGGCACATACTAGACACATTCCTTGCAACCCTTCGCGAGCTAGTAAAGTATTGGACTTACGCGAAAGGGCTAATGCAGGTTCTTGAGCAGAGGGCCTCCAAGGTCAGGGATGAGAGAGCTGAAAAGGCGTCTACGAGACTGCAATACGCTGCACCATCTGAGCAACATCGTCGCCCGCCCATTGATTCTCATCTAAACGTGCCCGGTGGCCCATCCTCGTATGAACAGCTAAGCGAGGATTCACCAGCGTGGAGTAATCAGGAAAGCCAAACACCGAATGCTGCTTTGGCTGATCTCGTTTCGAACTCTCAGCCCCCAGCCACTGACTTCTATCCAAGCACGGGTTTTCTAGGATCCACTCAAGACCCCTTGTTAGATGATCTATTCATGATAGACACTTCTGCGCTTGACCTTTTCTTCTACGATAACACCACGCAATAGGTAGTCAGAAAGTGAGATAAATAGTGTGTCTGTATCGCTGCACTTTGAGATTAATACGATTAAAAACTTGGGTCCTCGATTGTTGCACTGCGGCCACGCGTTATGAACATGGGTATACCTCGCCTTAATATGTTGTGTCGCTGTCTAACTATTCCTGTCTCAGCGGGATGAGTTTTATTAATGCTTTAAGACATATAGAGCCAATCCTTTTTGATAAGTCTACGGGGGGCACTAATTATATAATTACAATTCGGAAACAGATAACTAAAGACTAAAAATAAAGCAAGCCTAAAGACATAAAAACATGCATTTAGTACAATGACTTACTCCATTATACGGGCGGGACAAAGATGCAAAACAAACACCAAGCCACAGATGCGCTTGGGCCCTATCGTGACTGTTTGTTGCGCCAGGGTGACCTAATTCCCCCGCTCAGCTCAGCCGCAAGGCGGAAGACGGTTTAAAGTTATACGATGTTGCAATGCATCAATCGGTAGGGTGTTAGAGCTTTTCCCAGAATGCAAGGTGAAACACATTGCGAAGCCTAAGACAAACCAAATCATTCTCACGTCAGAGTATCCAAACTCTCAAAAGCGATAACAATATAAATTCGGTGTTCTCCATAGGCATATGTTATACTTCGTGCTTCTGACGTTGATTTTGAGAGAAAAATGTGTATGAAGAGACTACGACATGGGGAAAGGAGGAGTGAGCATAAGTAATCGACAGGTATTCATCTGACTATAATAGTAATAAGCGGGGAAGAACGCTTTGGAGTTATTTAGGGAAAGCGAAGTTTAGCAACAGTGAACGAATGGGAGATAGTTTAGTGTCCCCCGTGATTCAGGGAAATGCAGCCACATATTTCCATAGGTACCGACATCCGGGAGCCAATGTCCTCAACCCTTAGGATGCAAACTCTCCTCTCTAGCAGCTCGTAGTCTTCGTTTTGTGCCCGGTCCCGGCAGTTATGCCTCTCAAAGTTGGGGAAGGTCCTGGACGGAAAAGGGGGGCGGGGAGGACGATACCTTAACATGCTTTCCGAGGGAATCATTTGAGTTCAAAAGGTTGTTTGCGATGACAGTGAGGCCTGAGTATTGGGTGGGTGGGTACGAGATGTAAGGCTGACTACGACCCTGTTAATATTACTGATCTGTCAGCAACTATACTAGTAAATTGTTGTTAAGGTATTCATTGACAATACGGTAGTACATGACTACTTATATAAAAAGAGCTTAGAAGTAAGATAAGGAGAATGGCGAACCGGTAATGCGGGCATATTGCGTTCTGGAGTAATATCGTTTGGAGTTGGGCAGAGTTGCTGATTGATAAAAGATTTCCCGACCACAGGGTTCAGGTTAACTAGCGTCAACTTGGGTTTAGGGCACGCAGGCTAAAGGGGGTTCATAGGGAGGCTGTATTTTACCAATCGGTAAGAAAGGATAGGAAACTGTCTGGTTACAGAAGTGCCTGCTGGTGTAGAGGAGTTTGAGGAATCTCCGGCAAAAGGTGGGGAGATTAGATTGGAAATCAGATGAGCATTCCAGGTTGTCATAGCCTTCTTCACTCGCGGCCATGTTCGCGCCCCCGTGGTCATTCTTCCTTGATTTACCAACCTTTTGAGTTCCACTTGGTCATAGGCTTCAACCTTAATTGGATAACCCTTTTTATGACTCTCAGAGATAAGCGGAGGGTGTCGGTACCCAGTGATTTAGAGTTACTCTTTTCAACGGAATCCGTGGTCTGGGCCTTGATGAACACCGGTAAGTAGTTGATCATTAATGATCATCTGGTGTACAGGAACTTGACTGAGCTCAAAACGCCATTTCCGCGGCTTGTAACACCGACGCATTGCCTACCCATCAAAGACTATATATTCACGCATATCCGGGTCAGTTCCCCTTCAACTTCAACGCAAGTGGTTTATCTTTGAACCCATATCTCAATTTCCCTTACTGCAACTCTCAGATTTGCCAATCGTTTGAGATAATTTTGATATTCAAGAGCATTAACAGTCTTGCCGAGACTGCTACTTTATCAATTAAAATTACCCACCATGAAGGTCATCACTATCAATGGCAACTCTCTCGACCCCGACGCCCCAACCCTTCGTAACTTCGGTCTTGTACATGAGACTGCCAAGGACTCCGACTACATCCTGATCCAAACGAACAGTCCTCTTACCAACGATATCAAGAAGGAGCTTACCGACAAGAAAGTAGTTATCCAGGAGAAAGTATCGGATGACACTTACCTGTGCGGATATAAGCCTGAGGTATGTTGCGCCCGCGTCATTGCCGCCTTTTACCACAACCATGAGAAAGTTCGTTGACCTTATTCCCCTTGCAGGATCTCTCCCAAATCCGGGCATTGCCCTACATCACCTATGCGAACATCTACCAGCCGCACTTTGTCATTGACTCGCACCTCAAACAGACCCCGGCATCGTCCTCGCCAGCAAGCCCAATTCTCCCAGCACCGGCTCCTACTTCGCACCCTGTGATGGTAGATGTCGAGTTCCAGCCGGATGTTACTGACACGCCGGGACTGGTTAAGTCGTTGGCAACCGCAGCGCACTTGGACCCGGAGACTCTGACCACGGAGCGCCACAAAGCGCGCATCTTGGTGCAACACCGCTACCTGTCTGATCTGGCCGCACTGGACTCAGTCAAGAGCATCCACGAGGCCCATCCCATCAAGCTGCACAACAATATCGCCCGCGAACTCCTGCGCGCCGACGACGTCAAACATGTCGCCAACGGCACCCGGTACGAAGGCGAGGGCCAGACGGTCTGCGTCTCCGATACTGGGTTCGACAAGGGCTCTCTTGATCCTGATCAGGTGGCCGACGCCTTCAAGAACGGCAACGATGTCCGCGTTGATGCCCTGTATGCTCTCGGCCGCAAGGCGACCCGCAACGCCGACGGTACCGAGGTCGCAGGTACATCATCCGACCCCGACGGCCACGGGACGCACGTCTGTGGTTCCGTGCTCGGCGACGGTATCTCGGCCACCATGGGAGGGCGCATCCAGGGCACCGCGCCCAAGGCCAGGCTGGTAATGCAGTCGCTGCTTGATACGCGCGGCGCCCTCGGTGGCATCCCTGATGATCTGAGGGAGCTGTTCCTGCCGCCCTACAAAGACCACCACGCGCGGATCCACAGTAATAGCTGGGGCGCTGCCCCGCGGCCCTGGTTCCAGATCAGATACGACAACAGCGCAAAGGAGATCGACACCTTCGTCGCCACTAACCGTGACATGGTGATCCTCTTCGCAGCGGGCAATGACGGCATGGACGTCAAGCCTAACGACGGGAAGGTTGACCTCGCGCAGGTCATGTCCCAGGCTGCCGCCAAGAACTGCATCTCTGTCGGCGCCTCGGAGTCCCTCCGGCCGGAGCAGAACAGGCGCTACTCTATGTTCGGCTTCTCCAAGCAGCCACTGGCATCAGATAATGTCGCTAATGATGCAGAGGGAATGGCGGCTTTCTCTTCCCGCGGTCCAACGGCCGAGGGCCGGATTAAGCCCGATGTCGTGGCTCCGGGGACCTGCATTCTCTCCACCCGCAGCTCTGCCCCTGGAGTCACCACTTCCCAGGGATGGGGGCTCAGTAAAGACGATAATTACATGTTTGAGGGGGGCACTTCCATGGCTACCCCCCTGGTCGCCGGCTGCTGTGCGGTACTCCGTGAGACCCTTGAAAAAAATGGAACTATTAACCCCAGCGCGGCACTTATTAAGGCCCTCCTTATCAACGGCGCCGTTGAGCTGGCGGGGCAGTATAACCCCACCGAGGCAGGAAAGAGCCCCAACTACGCGAGCGGATGGGGGCGCGTTGACATCGCCAACAGTGTAGTATTTCCCGGCTGTCCTACAGGTGCTACGGACGGAACCAAGGTCACGGCCGATGGAAACGCCGGCTTTCGTGATGAGATTCCCGGTAAGGGTCTAGACACCTTTGAAGAATTCAAGTTCATTATTCCTATTATGGCCCGTACTGCATCTACAACTCCCTCCCGGACCCTCAAGGTCACGCTGGTCTGGACCGACCTGCCTGGCGAAAAGCTGCAGAACGACCTCGATCTGATCGTTGTAGCTCCCGATGGTGCCACTGAGCGGCACGGTAATAAGGGAGCAAGGAGCTTCCCGTATAAGGAGACCGAGACGCGTAACAGGGAGGGGAAGGCGGTTCCAACGGTGGCACATGGCAACGAGCCGTATGATCGGAAGAACAATGTCGAGCAGGTCGTGTGGGAGGGTGTACCGGTAGGCAAGGTGACGGTTATTGTGCGGGGTCATAACGTGACCTCAATGGACAGGCAGACGTTTGCGCTGGCTTGGAAGGTTTATTATTAGGTAGCTAGTAATAAGTATAGCATAAGGATCCCTTTAACTATTGTAAGCTTCCACTTCTGTACCTAGCAGCGAGGCTAGCTAATAAAAATGCATTAAATCAAAGGTATATTTTATCCCCACCTAACTTTGGTTGTGCCAAAGGTCCCAGTAATTGCCAAGTCTATATAAAGCTACATTACATTCTTAACACCTATATTGTGACTGCGGCGCCCTTGGACTGTTACTGCTAATTACAGATAATGCTGCCCTTAATGTTTGAGACCGACGCTGACCGAGCCTGAGGCCTTAACAGGCAAGGTATTCAGATTTTCCTTTAGGAACGCGAGCATGCTGTAATGTAGGCGTAAATTCGTTTCCACTCCGAAATCTCTTTCTTAATTGCGTCTTCGGTGCATACGCCTCTATTAGATCGTTTACAAGCCGTTGCCGCCAACTGCCTTTCGAAATCACTGCCTTCCATCGCGGCTGCCCTCGCTGCTGCAAAATAAAGCTATTTACAAGGGCAATTTCCAGGAGAAAATCCCAAGCCAGGGCTTTCCAGCCGCCTCGGCGCACACGACGGTCAAGGCCCTAATAAGCTCTCATTTGGTCACCGCGATCCACAGCATTCATCTCGTAATTATAGATAGCAGCAATATATGGGATAGAAACCTGTTTAACAGGGTCGTCACTAAAGAAACTCTATATTGATCGTGCTTGTATTTAGTCTGTTGTTGATTTCTTCCTGATGTAGTTAAGCCTTTCGTTGCCGTTAAACATAGTCATCAGAAATATCACAAGCGCATTCTCTTTCCAAGCGATCTGGTTGACCTTATTATCGGCTATTGGAATAGCTTTAACAAAATTAAACTCGAGGCTGCCAGCAGCTGTATTATCTATAACCTTTAGCTTGACAAGGGGCTTGTAGATGCCACAGTCCTTGCGGGCTGTGCCCGTGGCTCCATGGCCACGCTGCCGAATTCTCCGGAATAGATCGCAGGAAGAGAATAAATTATCGAGAACCACATGGTACGTGGATTTCTGCAGTAAATTAACCACGGCAACAACCACAGCCTAAGTCGAGTTAGGATGGATCGTGTTTCTCTCGAAGCTCTGCCGGCGCTGTCGCATCATCCGCAGCTGTGAGGGCAGGCGCCGGTATGTTGGCCTAACCCCAACAGGCCCGAACTTCCGGCCCGGCCTATACCAAATCCACCGAAGAAAATAGCCTCGCTGAGCCACAGTCCAGCCTTTGAACCCTAGTCCTATAGTCCAAAATCCACTTCAGTAGGGTTGATTTTATCAACCTACTTTAGACCTAGTAGGGCTAACTATTACCAGGGTGTAGAGTTGATTTAATATTATTCTATATATAGGAATAGTAGTGCTAATTAAAACTGGTGTTTATTAAGAATATAATACATCCTTTTATATAAAGTGCTATAAGGAGGTATATTATACTACTAGATAGTCTTATTATTAATTAAAGTATAATTAATATTTAGATCTTATTATTAAGGACTAAGTCACTATAATAACTATAAGGATGGCTTTAAACTTGCAATTTAAACTATACAGTGCAATTTATCCCTATGTTCCTCTCTACATACCGCCTTCTTATATGCCTGCATCCTTATTATCCATCCTATTTTCAGTAAAAGAGGAAATTCACCCCCTCTTATTAGCTTATACCTTTATAAAACCAAGTAATACTACGTCCTAGGCGCCTATATATAAATTAATATATTAATTATATATATTTTATAACTGTAGTATATAAATACATAAAGGGCTTTACTAATACTAGTATATTTATAATAAATATATCACCCTCCTCGATAGATTCTTATTCTTGTCAGTCGCCTACTTTTGCCATAGTGTATTAACTACTCTGGCGACCCTAACTACCTTTAAACATATAGCCTCCATAGCTCTGTGACCATCAGCCTGACGATCAGGACGTCGAATAGAATGACACAACTCCTACATCCCTTTTATCCATCCCTTTTTTAGTAAAAGTAGAAATTCGCGGTCTTTTACTCGTTTATATCCCTATAAATCCTTTCTTACCAAAGAGTAACTAGGTTATTAGACTCCTAGCTGACTTTTTACAGATAAATAGATAATATAACCTCTTGTTAGCTAGTTTCCTCTTTTATTTTAACCTTTATAGCTAGTTTTACTTTTATAATATAAAATAATATTACCTTCTAAGTATTTATATATAAATTAATATCTTAGCTATATATATTTTATAATTATATTCTTAAAAAAATAGAAAGGGGTCTGCTAATGCCAGTATATATATAATAAATATTTTGCCTTTTTTAATTAACCTCTATTACTAGCAGCCTATATACTTATACTATAAAATATCACCTAACTAATCTGGTGACTCAGACTGTTTTCAGGCATGTGGCCTTCAGACTTCCATGTCCATCAGTCTGATAATCACAACATTAAACAGAACGAAACAACTGCTTGGCTGCGACATTTAGGATGGTCTTGCTTATTTTATAACCGGCCGCTTAGTATCATAGCGGCTATAGTAAAAAAGCCTAAACCAGCATAGAACAAAGACTATCTATTAGGCCAGTGGCATACTATAGTACTCTAAAGTCCGGCTACTATAGAAGCCCAGTTATGAATTATACTTCGTAGTATCGACCTTATAGTTAATTAAGCAAGGTTCACGCTGGTAAAGACTTAATATATGTGTCAGTGCTAGCTAAATAGCTATTAAAAAGATAACTTTTAGCCTTATAAGTTCAGAGTTATAAATTATCTAAAAAGCTATATTAATATATAGAAATAGTTTATTTATAATATATTTAGAGTTCTGAATCTTGACACATATCAGCAGCAAGAGATTTACAACTTGCAACTCCGACAGAGAGTAGGCTTAAATTACGCAGGGGGTGGATTTAATTTATACTAGGGGTAGACTACATCATTATTCCAGCTCCAAATTCAAGTGAAAAACAACTTTTATGCATCTTTATTAGGCCATTGCCCCTGTTTTCTACTTTCACTTGAAAGGGGATAATGTAACAGCTGTAGCTCTACTTCTAGTCGTTGAGCAGGCGTTTCATAGCCTGATTGGTTCTTTGCTCCTAACCCTGTATGATTTTTGCATTTTTAGCCATACATAAAAATAGCGGCGGGTAAGCTTGCCCGACTAACTGCAACTAATCATTTAAGTATGGATTAAAGATTCTATGTAACCGATCAGTTAACCTAGCCACCAAGAGCTGATAGGAAAACATCAAGACAAATAAAGCTTTGATAACACGTGTCGAAATATTTATTGTAAATAGATAAGCATCACCATAGCGGTACCATCAAAGAGTCATCATCTCAGACATCTCTGCAACAGGGCCCATTGAAGGATGATACGTAGTTGGCTTTCCATGCATGACCTTCTGCCATGATGGGCTCTTTTCTTTCACATTGGCCCAACGTTGCAACTCCAGAGGCACAAGATCGTCATTACCAACCTCCATACAGCGCAAGGTAAACGGGAGCAGATGGCTATCAAGGATAGTCGGTCCAATATCAGTGCCAAAGGTCCACTCATCATGGTCCTCGTAAGAGCCACTCTGTCTGCGGTGCTCCACGACCTCTTCAAAAATAGTCTTGAGATCCGCACGATGCTTAGCTACAACACCAGGCTGAAAGGCGATTGCGTTATGCTGGTTGTGACTAAAGGGTTCTGTAAGTTCAATGCTGTTTAGCGCATGAGGCATAACTGACAAAGCAAGTTTGGCTTCCAGAGCGGCGCGATACTGAGGAGTGATATCAGTCCTCTGAAGTATCTTTTCAACTGGCGAGGGATTCCGCTGGGTCATTTCTGTTGTCGGATTCGGGTTGCTGATTGATAACCCGTATACAGCATGGAGTCTTTCAAATAGATTCCTGACGACATTCTCATATTTGCCTCCCAGCATGGCAGGGTAGTGCTTCTCTGCGAGATGAAGAGAGATGGCACGACTCTCGGTAAGAGTTTCTTTGAGGAACTTGCCCTTCATAGCCGGAACTTGGCCTCTTGGGTTGACGTTGATCAAGTAATCCTCACTGAGATTCTCATGGGCTTTGTGATTAATGAAGTGCAGAGTGATGCTTTTTGGTGGCGTTGCACCATGGGTTGTTGGGCCAAGTTGGATTGTGTGACGGGCCATCATCGAGTAGAGAGAGAACGGAGATGAGTAGAGAGTGTACTCGGCGTTCTTCCAGTCCGTCATGATTGAAGCTGTTTTGACAATGGACAAGTGAATTACAACTGAGCTGTTGATCGTCTGAAACGCCGAGCATATGAGTGGTGAAGTATGTGAGTTCTGTGAGAGGGGAAGGTTAAGCAATCAGGTGACCCAAGTCAAAGCAGTACCCAAGGCAGTGCAATGAATGCCATAGCACAAACACTCGTGACCCCTTTCCCCAGCCAGATAGACATGTAGATCGCATGATATGATTTAATTCCTTTCCGTGGGGAACCAAAACTTGTTTGCCATGTTCATTACGACAATGTACCTTGTTCAATGATGCCGATATATCCGAGATGGAGTGCAACCAACAGTGATAAGCATGCGCCGTAATCTCTTCCCGCACATTCGCAAGCAAACATAGACCAACCACCAATCAGATCTCCAAATCCTTCGGACTTCCAATGGGAACCGAAAATCGGATGCCATCGCTTCCCCACTCCAGGATCACACCATTTCCAGGAAGGCAAACAACCGGATGCAGCGACGAGTGTCAATTATTTCATGCTTGAGGTTAATTCTGATGAGAGGCCGACCAGCTAACTTAAACGATATCAGTAGAGTTGAGCGAAAATCATAGATGACGATAAGACTACTGGTAGCAAAATACTCTTCAACTCAATAGCCAACTAATGCCAATAATTGTTCACGCTGCCCTTGGTGATCAACCACGCTTTGTCCAGAACATCCACAATTTCCTTGGGCAAAGGTCCTTTTTCCAGAAGATTGAGGTTCTGCTCCAGCTGACCCTTACTGCTTGCACCAATAATCACTGCATCGCCTCGCTCAGGATCTAGCTGCGAGTGATGTTCAATCCAGCGGAAAGCACAATCCATCTCCGTAAGCCCGTGCTTTCCAGCTTCATCCCTAATAAGCTCAACTGCATCAAAGATAACGTCGTTCCAGAATCGCCTCCTGTACTTGCGACCTTGAAAAGTGTTTGGATCGAAGCGGGACATGGATTCAATGTCTGTATCCTGTGTGTCCCGCTTGTACCGCCCAGTTAGCTGACTTCCGGCCAGAGGACTGAAGGCATAGAATGTGATTCCGTAGTGTCTGAGACAAGGAAACAACTCCATTTCAACTGTTCGATGAATGGCGTTGTATACTCCTTGATAAACGGTAGGTCGAATCCATCCTTCACGAATACACAGCTCGCTCATATAGGCCACCTCCCAAGCCATGTAGTTACTCAGCCCGAGCCTGTTGAACTTCCCTTCTTTGTGCAACTCATTACAAGCTCTCAGGGTCTCTTCGAATGGAGTGTCGCGGTCTGGTCCATGGAGATACCAGAGATCTATCTTGTCTGTCTTGAGGGCCTTGAGAGACTCATCAAGATGCTTCCGAAGATCAACGGCAGAATGAGTGATCTTGCCAGTCCCATCGTGGATGTTGGGATAGAGTTTGGTGTCAACCCGAAGACCTCGAGCCTGCCAATCAAGCTGTCCGAGGTATTCCTCGGAGGAACCTTGAGCATACACACGCGCTGTGTCAACAACTGTACCGCCATGTTCTTGGAAAAGGTCCAGCATGGCACCGGCTTCCGTGAGGTCATGGATACGCGCTTGCTCAACCCCTACTGATATCAGTAAGATTCTTCGCTTAGTAAACACGCTACCCTACCTTCTCTCCCGAACGTCATGGCACCGAAAATGACTGGTACACGGGCCTTTTGCGTTTGAGGCATGATGAAATTAGATGGTAGTCAATTGCAAGAACGTCGATGAAGCAAAGTGGAAATGTCACAAACAATTGTACAATTGAAGATTACAAGTGAATAATTTCATCGGGGTCGAGAGACTCTCTGGCCTTTTAAGAGAGGGGTCGGCCAGCAGATGGGTCCTGTCTCAACCCTATTCCGCTGAGCTTGTACTGTACCAACAGACAAAGGGCGGGGCAGAACCCCCCACTACGGAAGCCTGTGTACAAACAAAATTACTGCATACTAGTGCTGTTTGCTTGTCGATCAGTGCTTGCTATGCTGTACCAGTGCGGGGTATAGGGCGTTAGTTATAGAGTCGTCTGTATCATGTATTTCGTAGATAAGGGAACAAGTCACAAAGATTATCCAGCGTTGAACAGATTGCACTCGGACACAAGTATCCGAAGAATTTTAAATCAATGAACTAAGCTCTAGAGAGCTGTCAGTTCCAAAACCTGTACAGAGGCATCAACGGAATTCCCAAGAGTTGTTGATTCCATCGAGTCAATTTCAGACTATATAATCAATGTTCCAACGAAACGCCATTCTATTTGGCAAAATGGGAGATAAATGCATCTCGCAATTCAAATGGGTGCTCCGAGGGACGAGGCAAATCCTTCGAGACGTCCTGATTGACGACAACAACAATCAGAGCCGTCTTTTCAGCCCACTCAAAAGCCTGGATAAGACCCTCGGCACTATCTACAAAGAATTTCTGCTTGTAAGGCAAGCTTCCACATAGCGAAAGAAGGTTGTTGGTGCTGATCGGGACAGGCTGATTCCCAGTTGAACAGTGTATGCCGTTGTGAATCACAACATGGATCAATTTGTCCGAGGCTGAAGCAGCCAGGACGGCCACGTTGCCTACATGCATCAAGAATGAACCGTCACCTTCAACACAGACGACGCGGCCTTTGTGATGACCGATCTGAACGCCATAGGCGAGAGGGTATGTATGGCCCATGGCTCCAATGGACAAGAATGCACGAGACAGGTCCTCGTTGTTCTCCTTTCGAACCATGTAGATCTCACGAGAATTGCCCCCAACAGAAGATACAGTGACATCTTCTGGGTAGAGCCTCTTGAGAATGATTCTAATGGAGTATTCTCGCGACAGAGGGAGATGTCCTTCCGAAGAACGCCAATCTTCAGGTCTAACTGTATGTTTGGCCAAGTTTGTAACAGCTGGGTGCCAAACACCATTGCTCGCTTCCTGCTCAGGTCGATATGCAGCGAATCTGTGGTTGGGAATTACAAGAGCAACAGGGGTTTGGCCCTCTCTGGCGGCTTTAATGAGCCTTGCAACTGCACTCTTGGTTTCTTCAAGAGTGTCTGGCAGGATCTCATAAGGAAACCCTTGAGACTCCAGAGTCTCCAGCGTGCGAGGGCCTGCCAAGAGGTGTTCAGGCTCGTCATGCTCCCCTGGTCGTCCTCGCCAGCCGACCATAAGAAGCATGGGGATACCAAACACTTCTTTGGCAGCCAAGGATTGCAGAGGGTTTAATGCATTTGCAAGACCTGAGTTCTGCATGTACGCAACGGCGAGACTCTGGGTTGACAGATAGTAACCTGCAGCCAGCGCAGCTGCAGCGCCTTCACTAGCTGTGACGATCTGTTCAGGAGACTTTTTGGTGGCATATAGGTATGCTAGGAATCCCTTCAAACAGGAGTCAGGGACACCAAAGGCATGAGTGATCCCATTCTCGATGAGTGCCTGCTCGTAGAACAAACGAGGATCAAGGGTAGCCATAGTGATTGCAAAGTGTAAGCAGGTGTAGTGCCTTGAGAATGTTGTAACAGATGTTTGTTACCGTATAGTGTTTGAAGATGATGAGGTGATGATGGAAGTAATCGAGATATTGACTGCTGTGATGGTTAACCAAGTGGTCTCTTCCCCCCACGAAGCGCAGGCAACATTCAGGCATACGGAGTCAACATGAACTCGCAATCTTGGATATTCCGCACCTCCAACACAATGCAACCATGGTCATGCGACGACTTGCCTTTTCGAGATACTATCCTCACACATAGAACCCCACGCCTTCATACAGTAAAGGTTATCAGTTCCTCTGCAATACTGCGGTGATACATGCCGAGATGACGTGGCCTGATTGATTGAAGCATTTGATGAGTGTTACTGGCTGAGAAAGTACCCAAGTGCAGCTCGTTACTGTAACTGGGAACTATAACATTTTCGTGATACTTTGAACACGAGTTTCAAAGCGTTTGTACAAGGATCATCACATCATCCGGGAATGGGGGTGTCACGGTCAGAGGCTACGAAAATACAACATAAGCTTTCTTACAAGCATGATAAGCATTGTAAAGGATGTGTCGCACCGGGAAATAACAAAGAGAAGATCAATTGTTTCATGGTGTTGTGCATCAGTAACAGGGGCAATGGCATCATTCGAAGGATTTGGGATACAATCATCTTGATTGGAGCATGCACGCGACCAAGTGCCTGTCCTACTTGTCTTACCATGCATGTATGTGCCCCAATCCGGGGTTGTAAACCACTAAAACGGCTCCCCGCTTATCATTGTGAGGCGGATTCAACCGTGATAGGGGCCGGAGCGGAATTGGTTAGTGGGTTCGGTCTATTTCAACCCCAGTAGAACTCCAGACCGCAAAATAACAGGGGTCTAATTGCATAAGTTAGCCTTTCAATCCTTTCACACTGTCAATGTTCACACGGCTTATGCACTCTCCTGCAAGACTACGGGTACGGCTCGCAAACCCTGGCCTCAGCTGCTACCCGGCACTATCTTATGCTTCTTTCAGTTGCCGCCCCTAAGCATGTCCGTGCCGAGATATCCGTGAGACTCGGGTGGTTCTCCACGTTGCATTTTACTAACCCTACACATCCTACACGAATGATGAGGAGACCATCATGATTCACGTCAACGATAGCATCGGCATCTGGGATCGATACGCGCCAGCCTGCGAAAGGATCCGCTATCTGGATGGTGCTGGAAGACTGGCTGGAGATTGTGGAGGGTACGTGTCCTCAGAAGTTCACGTCTCGGGTAGCTCACCCATTCCAGCAACGCCTCTGCGCTTCATCCCGCCGGCACATTTCATACTGGAATTGACCGAGAGATAAGCATTTCATCTATCTAATCAGATCGCGTACAGTGGCATATCCAACGGTGGCTCACTCAGTACTGAGAATTCCTACCGTCTTACTGCCTTCTTGTCTCATTCTCTGTCTCGACAGTTGTTTGATACATCCAATATCATAATGTTACTCTATTTGCTTGCTTTAATACTACTCATA